TCTTTTTAAGATGTTCTATTAATATTTTTTGACCTAAATGCATCAGAAAATACTATTGAATCATAAAACATTTGACTTAGAATTTTCAGCTTTGAGAAGTCTAGTTAAGCTATCGAATACTTTCAATGCTCATTTTATTTTATAACCATCGTTGAACAGCGGACCCAATCTTGAGTTCAACGCCGTAGCCGTGTAATTTTCAACCCAATCCAGAAGACAAGGGAACTCTAGGATCAAGTATTGGGAGAAATGTTGCCTTCGTGGAGGACTTTTTTATGGAATTAATCTGCATTTGCGTTACATAGAAAGGGAAACCACGAAAACATCCAACCGTTAGCTTGGCGGCTATGGGACTCAAACACATGATCAGTTTACCACTGAGGATATTTTACGTCAGCAACTGTAGTCGTTGTGAGCCGGGTGTGAAATTCGTATCGACCAGCTATCGCTAGGTTTCGATCCCGGTTCTCTTCATCTGGAGACGAACGCTCTATCCCCTGAGCCACTTATTAGCTTTATTCAGTTTTGGTGGCAACAGAGCTGTATCTGATGTTATTTTTGCATCATACAGGTTGTCCCTCAAGACCACCTTTAGTGCATATTTTTGACATCTTTGATCAAAAATGATGTTTACAGAATTCACATTAGTAACCACAAATTAAAATTTAAGTGAGGAAAAAATCAAAACTTTGTCGAAATTTAACGAATAAAAAGTGTGGAAGGTGGGACTGAAAATATCAAAACCTGTTTGTTAGAAAAATTTAAGGTGTTTCTTATAATCTCCCTCCAACTTCTCTCTGTTTCCAACGTTAACTAAACGTATTTTGATATTTTCATTCCCAATTTAATCTGTAGACTTTGGCTTTCACTTAAAAAAAAAAATATGGAACACCCTGAATAACTTTTGATCTAGTGTTTGGATCTTGACGCATATGGAGTCAATCTTAATGGTTTAAAGGATTGACCTCAAATATGATCATTAAACAATGGAAATGATATTTTAAGTAAAGAAATCAGACATAAAAACGCACTTTCTTTGGATGGTTGACTGAATGTAAACAATAACAAACTTTCTAAACCCGTAAGAAATTTTGAAAACTTTCGGTGTATCCCTCTGCTTATGTTATGCTTACCTTACGAGGTGATTTCGGCACAGGCTTATGTTAAATACCTTATTTATAAACGGCTTATTAATATGTTAAATGGTTATGTTAGGGTTTATCATATTTAGATGTTATTCCAAAAAAGTTATTATTGAGTAAAGTAATTAATGTTCAAAAAATTTATAAAAATAAACCATATTTTTTTGTATCTGAAAGTGATTTTTTTGTATCTGAGAGTGAACCAAAACTCTCTCAAAAATTGAAACGTCAATCATTTGACGCAGATGGGACACCTACCGATGTCCTTTTTCTACACTTTTTTTTCTGATGCTCTAATTACAAGCAAAAATATATATTCGTATTTTTAAATTATTAAAAAAAACAGTCTAATCGCTACTAAAAAATTTGTCAGATATTTGGAATTATATTTGTACTAAAATATAAATAAATAAATAAATAAATAAATAAATAAATAATAATAAATAAATAAAAAATAAATAAATAAAATAGAAAATAGTTTGTAAAGAAACGTTTTTTACTCATATTCAGAAATGCATCAGTAATTGATTTTGTAAATTAAAAAAAACTTCAATGATGAATAGCCGTTACTTGTAAGTCTAAATAGTTAAATCATAATATGTTTAATTAAACAAAAAGTGAAAACAGAAAAACTAAATCCGGATCACTATTCTTATAAATCTTAAGAATCAGATTCAAATAGAAATTCAGTATCAATCGCTGATGTGGAACATCAACTGCAATAAAAATTCATGGAGCATTACCCCATCATTAAAAGCACCGAAAAAGTTTTATGCTTCGTTGATTATGTACTCAAGTTTAGTGAGAAATCCATAGTAAATTGGTGGATATGAAAACATAGAAAAGTTAATATTTCTCTATCAGAAATTCAAGACAGATTTCAATTACAAATTATCAAGTAGATGAAAATTATCTACGCGAACTCAAGCACAATCAAATGTATCAAATTATTCTGATTTGCCTAAACCAATCTAAGGTAGCATTTCCTTAAAGCTGGCTGAAAATTTTAACATTTGATTTGTCTAAACCTATCTAAGGTAACATTTCTTTAAAGCTAGCTGAAAATTTTAACATTCAAGTTTGCTTTGTATGAATATTTTTATGCACAGTGCTCAAAAAAATAAACAGACCACCCTGAATAACTTTTGATCCAATTGTACGGATCTTCTAGTACAAAAGCTCAATCTTAAAGTTTGAGAGGATGATCTCAAATATGCTAATTAATTAGTGCAAACGATATTTTAAGTTATGAAATCAGCCAAACAAAAATGTACTTTTTCTGAAGAAATCTTTTATATCATAGATCTCTTATACTATATAATGTATATATCTTTTTTCCGACCGATGCGGATTTCTGACCATCAAAATGTAAGGGGCAGCCGCAATCTGGAAAATATGGTCTCAATAGTTAGACCAGGAGAGCGGCTTAAAGTTTGGACCCCTTAATGTCAATTTTATTTTTTGCATATTTCACCATATTTCGAGAACTTTTTAAGCGAATTGAAAATTTTTGTTCGCAATTATAAAATTCGTTTATTCAAAGATAATTCCGCGCAAAAAACAACTTTTAGTAAATATTTATTATTTTTTTATCATTTTATTTAGTAACAGTGGAAAAATTCTTGAATTGTAACGTATAAAATTTTTTTACATTAAAGAATGTAATTTTACCTGGCTAAGTGCAAAATTTAAGCGAAATCGCTAAAGTAGTTCTTCAGAACTGGAATTTTAAAAACACGAGTATTTTTTATGAGGGATACGATGGACCGATTAAAAATACCTATATTACTGGAAAATCAATTAAAACATAATAAAACTTGTATAAGAAAAATTCATGATCCAGTTGAACATTAATATGCATGGAATAATTTTTTTTCCAACTGTGACCGCTTCCGGATAATTGAATCAAGTCTACAATCAATTAAACTATTAAAATTTCATATGAAAAGTAACAGACAGGACCGATCACGACCGAACTCGTTAAGACTCTTTAAAAATGGGACTTCATACACATTATGCAGGTGTTCCGTAATGGCCTACTTTAATATGAGAACCTTTGGGAGAATCCTTGGGGAAAAATGGGAATCATTCTTAGAATCATTGGGGAAAAAGTGTACCCCTTTTCAATGTATATCTTCAGAAAAAAGTGTACACATTAGAGGTTTCAAATTAGTATTAAAAAGAGGAAGAAACAAAATAGCTAACGAAATCTGTCGAATCACTAGTGAGGATTACGAGAAAAAAAGATTAAAAATAGTTTGATTGTCTGATAAAATTTGAAGATGTTTCTAATAATCAATTTTCTTCTCTCAGTTTCTACGGTCAATTAAACAGATTTTGACATTCGCAGTCCCTTCTTTCTCAATAATGACTCGTTCAATTTCAATGGGTTTTTTTGTTCGCTTAAATATTCATATGGGAATCTGTTTGATTTCATTTTTGGAAAGTGTTCCAAAAATATCGATTAAGAGTGGCCTTGACGAAGCACCCTGTGTAACGAAGAAACTGAAATGTCTTGAGGGTAGAGATTATTATTATTATTTTACCTTTTTATAATAAAAAAAAGCAAAAAGCTATTTTGTAATTTTCGAACAGCTGACTTTTATTTACGTATTAACGATGTCAAATTATACCGTGATATTCATTTAGGTATAAGGTTTACGGAAAAATGTAAAATTAAAAAACTTTAATGCCCCTTTATTTTTTAAAATATTAACTTTTTTATAACCTGTAAGAAAACCTTCTTTCTAATAAATTTATATAAGAAAAAGTAAGGATAATTTTAAAAGAAAACTTGCTTTGCTCTATTAATTTAACTGAGTATTACATTAACTTTGTTATTATTGTTAATTATATAAATAACTTATTTTTAAGGGAAAATATTTTATAATATTTTCATTGCAAAATATTTAATATATTTTGTTAAAATATTTTCATAATATTTGGAAAATTATTGTTATGTAAATATTTTTATTGAAACTTATATTACAATGGTATTATCTCATATAACGGATTCTTTCATTTATTTTTAAAAAAATGTAACAGCTTGTTATGCTTCAGTTTAAAAAGACCTTGTATCATTTTCTACATTATGTTTTCAATATCAATATTTCTTGTAAAAATATTTCAAGTATTTAAATAAATAAAAACCAAAGATTATAAAAATAAATAGTACGATATAAAAATTTCTGAGTAAAGTATTCAAATGAAAATATTTACATGATTTCATTATGCTCATGTTGTAAAACATTTCGCCTCCTCAAATTATTAAGAATTTCATGTAAATTTTTCTTCAAATAATTTTTGTTTATCCAAGATAGCGAAATAAATTGCGATATTTGAATTAATGAAGTTATTTCCCCTATATATATATATANTATATATAATATAGTTGAACTTAATCCTTTACAGTTTCACTTATTCTAATTCTTCGAACTACATCAAGAAATAATAGTTCGAAGAATTAGAATAGTTGAAATCGAAGAAAAGTAAAGTTAAGGATTCAGTTTAACTACATTTAATCAAAACATTTTGTAAGTTTCAAAAGTACTTGTTTTTTATTCGTAATTCCAAACTGTTTTCTTTTCTTTTTTAAAGCAAAAAGTAATAATAAAATATGTTGAAAACATATTTTCAAATGTTTTACAGAATTAACGTTAAAAAAATCCAGTATGAATCAAATGCAATTTAAAAAATAAATTATTATAAAGCAAAATCTAGATACGAAGGATTATAATTAGAATTGATGCCCCTGTAAATTTTCGTGGAACAGACAGACGAAACAGAAACTAAAATCACACGTTAAATTTCTGCTTGGCAATGTTTCTTACTCGCCAAATTATACTTGTAAAAAAAATATGAAGCAACCCTGTTGTCATTTACTAGCAGTACGCTATTTGGACCTAGAAACGGAAAATTGTGTGAGCAAACTTTTGGTCTTATTTATATTTACGTCTAAAACTTATTTTAAATCTACTTTAGAGTGTAAAGGTTTGTATTTTATTTATGTTGTTCTCATTCTTTATTTATTGCTTTTTGAAATTACTGTTTATTACTCTACATTTCTATGGCAAATACTACGTTTTCTCGAATTCTTAAGTGTGAATTTACTTTACATTGAATTCTATAAATATTGCTAGGATTCTTTAATTTGTTATTTATTTTATTTATAAATCTTAAAGTTTATATTTTGGGTACGTTTATGATATTTTTCCATGAAGACTTCTAATTTGTGGTTTTGTAACTACAATATTTGAAATTCTTTTCTTACATCTTAGTCCTGTCCTAAAGTATTTGTGGATTTTTACGAAAAGTTCCTGAATTTCTGCTTTCAAAGTATTTCCAGTATAAATAAAATTGAATTTTTTTATTTTTGAGATAAGGCACATATATTTGTAAATTATTACAGTTTACAAGGGTTTTCTATTTCTTCACGTTTTCTGTCAAAACAATATTATTCTAAAATTATGCCATATTTCTAAAAATAAAAATAAGATATAGAACTGAACGAAAGAGACTTATCTTTTGAATCACTGTGTTGTTTCTCTAATAAACCAACCAATAGATCTATTTATGAGGTATATATTTAGAATTTTTTGAAATACTTTGAAATTGAAAAATATCTTTTGTAAAGTTGGTTATTTGAACTGCTTCTTTAGTCTATAAATAAACCAACAAAAAAGTTAAATATTTGATACTTCAATTTTTTCTGTCAGTGATATTAATATTTGCTTAGTTCTCACACCTTTCCTAGTTAGTATAAGTGAGCAAAAATAGTTTCTTTGGGTATTAAGACAACCAGGAAATGCTATTAATTAGCAATGTACGTTTTGTTATAAAACTGACAAATGTTAGGCTTTTTAAATAAAAGAGAGCTAGAACCTTTATGAATAATTTATTATAAAATTGCACAATGGGAAAGGAAAATCCTATTATTTTACTTATGCTTGTATAATATGATTTTATTATAAGAGCTTTTTTTAAAAAATAGTGAAAGAATATTTTATTAACGTTTTTGAAACATTACACTGAAATTTTACTTATCGGAAAGATTTTATAAGATTCAAAATCTAACTAGTAGCTCCTCAATAATCCCTGAAGCTGCTTTCAATGTTTATCTAAAGGAAAATTTTATAATTGTTTTCTCAATAACTATAAGCTCGAAATCTTAGTATTTGCTATTTTTAAATAGGTCTTTTTAAATTAAATTTTTGCTTTCAATCAATTTAAAAAAAAAAAAAATTAGTGGATTCTTTTTAAAAGTAAATGAAGTGTGAAACGAGTAATTTTCTAAAACTATTTTAATGCTACATCTTTGTATTTTTTAAATGAAAAAAATAAAAGCTTCAAAAAAATCTGGTAAAAAATTTTTAAAAAATATTTACAGGGATTTTATAAATTTTTTTTTTTGTCTAATGAGTTATCTAATTTTGACCAGTCCGGAGAGGTCTAAGGAGAAAATCATTCATGTGTGACTGAAACCACATGTTTGCTATATAGTTATTGTAATTAAATTACTATTCTTTTATAAGCCTGCGGTTTTTTTTAACCTTTTTTTTGTGTGGGAGTATAATAGAAGATGCTTTTAAAGAGCTAAGTCTTAAAATCACTATCAATAAACTTTCACTATTATCTCTTTTTTGTTTGTATTTAATTAGATTGTGAATTTTACATGAATTCAGTTAAATTCTTTAAAGTTTTATTCTGGAATCTCAATTTTGCATATTAATTCTTTTATTATTTAAATTGTCATAAAAAATATTTCTATTTTATATAAATTAATCCTTGTTCCACTGGTTTGAGAAAATGAGAATATGATCAAAAATTATTTTGCAAATCACTATTTCTTACGAATTTTTCCTTTTTATTATAATTTTAAATTGAATGAAATTCAAAGAATACATATTGCATTTTTAATTTAAAAATCATGACATTCAGTCTAAATTTCTTATAAAAATGCTATACTTTGTATGATTTTATTTTTACTTTGAACAATAAATATACACAGACTTGCTTTATAAAAGAACAGAATTGCAGAACACATTGTACAAAATTGAAATAATTGTTTGAAAATTTAGTAAATTTTTTTTATTATTATTAATGGAATACTCAAACGAATTTTTTTTCTTTCTAAGATTGAAAAATAGATTGAAGTAAGTTTAAAATTCACTAAACTAAGATTGAAAGTAAGTTTATATTCTTATAATATTTCTTATTGTAATATTTAAATGTTACTAAAAAAGTTTTGAAAAGAATTTGTTTTTAAGGAATTGTTAAAGAAAATGCCATTGTTTCTTATTGTATTAGGATTTGAGTCCACTCTAGTTCAAAATAATGTCATCCAGATTCATGATTTTAGTTAAGAAGTAATGCTATATCAATTGCTGCCATTTTGTTTCTTACCTTGTTATCTTACTTCTTAATATATTTTTAAAAAGAATATTATTAGAAAGAATGATTTGATTGAAAAAATATACATTAAAAATAGTTAAAAAGCACGCTTATGGACAAAAAAATAAAAATGTTAGTTTGTAGTTTATTATTCACATTTTTATTTATTAATTTTTTTAGATAAGGCCATATTGACATGGAATGTCCTATTAGCTCTAGTGCTGGTGAATGAAAATAGGGAAAATAAAATCCTGGTCTTTTTTACTGAAACAAAAACATAATAATCTAAAAGACAAGCTCTATGTCCAAGTAAAAATGTGCAGTTTGCTATAGAAAATATTGAAAATATTTCCAAAAAATGGTTGTGGTGAAAAAAATTTGGTTCAAAATATCAATGAATTTCTTAAATCAAATTTTTTAACCTTAATTAGATGTCATAGTTGTTTAACTAGAATGAAAATTATGAAGACTTTTAAGAAAGCTCTGGGACCAAATTCAGTAAAGGATCCTTGTTGCAGAAATCCACTGATCTTGGTTGAAAAAGGCATGAAAACTTCAGCTGATGATCAAATAAACACCATCTTAGATATTAAATCATTCAGCTTTATTATGCTATCTCTTGAAACAGAAATGAAACCAGTATTTCTGAATTTTGAAGTAGATAAGCTACTTTTGCCTGGCCATAGGAATTTTAATGAAATTGTGTTCTGTTTTGAAAAAAGTATCAACTGTAAAGATGTTTGAAATCAAGAAAGTTTCCTAAGAAAATGATCTAAAAAGAGGATAGCTTGAAATAGGTAAGTAAATCGTTTTATAATTACATCTGGAAACAGATGGAATTGATATATGCTGATTAAAATGGTTTTTATACTGGTTGGAAATATCCTAATTTTTCCAAAATTTCTAATTTTTCTGAAAATGTCTTTTCCAATATTTTGTCCAAATTATGTTTTCTATGGCCTGTGTGAAATTTTCAAATACTTTTTTAAAAATGAATTAAATTGAAAATGAATTCCTGAAGAAATTTTCTCTTTTAAATAACTCATCCCCCCAATTTCATTTGCTAATTTCAGGCCCAATAACTACTTTAAAGAGTGTAATAAAACTACATACATTAGTAATGTGTATTGTTCCATTTTAAACCAAATCAAATGAAATGTTTTTACATTGATGAGTTATGTTGATTTGAAGTTGTATAATCGTATTCAATGTAAAATCTAATTAATGAATTTAGTTTAACAGAATCTAAACTTATAACTATCCCAAATAGTTCCCTTGAGTTTGACATTATGTCTTCTATATATATATTATATATATTTTGAGGGCTCAAAAACTGAATTTGTCTCTAGTGCTGTAAGCCCTAACTACGCCTTTGTTTGTATTAGCAAGGTTTCGTACTTTACATCTGAATGGATATGGCAATCCTTTAGCAAGCATTTGTGCTAACCTAAATGTGTTTATATCCAAGATCGGTTTCTGAATATGAACCAGAGTTGCTTTTCTCAAAAGAGCAAATACAAAAAATTAATAATTAAAGAACATACTGAAAAAAAAGTTTTGCTTCAAATACGTGCACTTTTTAAGCTCTTCTAGGCAAAATGGTTGATTTAAAATGTTCTGACAGAAGTTAAATTGTTGCTCAAAAAATTATAAAGGAGTTGCTTATCTGAAAAAAATATATATAAATCAATAAAATAAAAAATATAGAAAAAAACCTAATTGATCAGTTTCAAGCTCTAATAAAAATAACTTTAAAGTGCCGCATAGTTAAGCAGATTGTGTTAGGTTACTAAGGGGAAATACATTATTCTAAATTAACTTTAAGGAATATTTTGATGGTTTCTGTTCATATTCCACTTCATTTCATAAGGAAAAAGCGAAATAAGAGATGGAAATAGAGGAAAACAAATCTAATGAGAAAAAAGCAGTGGTGTCAGTTATAAAAATAATTATTAATTTACAATAATATAATTATTTCTTTCAAAATTAAAATACTCTACAAATGAGACTTTACTTAGAATCTTGCTTTAAGCAGAAAAAAAAATTTAATTATGTTTCCTAACTCCTATTGGCGCAGTACAATTTATCGTGTATTTTGTTGTCGGACGTAAAATATCGAAAGTGCATCTTTCAAATTTTTTTGTAAATCAAAATGTGAAATGTTTCTACACATTTGTGCGTGATAACCTGTTTTGTTACAGTTTAGTTCAATAATTATTTATTCCATTCTGTATCATTAGTGGAAATTTTTTTTTTAAAGAAATGTACTTGTTAGAGATTTACTTACTGTAGTTAAAATTTCAAATGATTTAGCCCTTCATTTAACAGTCTATGACTTATTGAAAACTGATATTAATAAGTTTTAAGTCATTATTTCTAAATCCTCAGTTGAAAATACCTTGTCTGCTTGAAAATATAGAGCTTAAAATTTTGGCCGTTTGGTTGATCTTACAGTGGAATAGCCCTGTAAGTTTTTAATGAATTTTATGGTATTTTCAGTTAATACTGCAAGCATGATTGTTACAGTCAAATTTACTGTAAAATCATAGTAATTAAATATATATTATGGTTAAAACAATGGGATATTAAAATTTCTTATTTTTTTTCCATTTATTTAATTTTATATATTTATTTTTAGAAGAATGTAACAGAAAAAAAACTACTTTTGAAGCTTATGGAACTTACAGCCGGACGTTTGTTTAATGTACATACAGACCAAACTGAGTCAGCAGCAACAGCCTGGATTAAGTCATCAGCATAGGTTAATGCCTATAGTTGCACAGAATGTCATCAAAAGAAGTTTATTGGAAATACATCGTAAGTTTCTATAAAACTTCCTATTTAAAAGATTTAATATCATGAATAAAATATATTATGGCACTGTTTTACAAATACAGAAAATTTAAACTATTGCATAATAATTGGCTAAAAACTTCTATCACCAGTTATAATCCCTTTTGCAAGTGATGCTCTTGACATGTTTCATTTTAGGTGGGAAAAAATATAATTATTTTCTGTTCTGTATATTACCTTAGTATATTAGTTTTCAACACAAACTTATTTTTTCATTTTGGGCCTTGCCATTAAAAAAAAATAAATTATTAAATATTCATACCTAGTTTGTACTATCATGGTCTAGGTGTCTCATCAGGCCATTTTCTAAAAAAAGAAAGAAAATTTCAAAACACAATTTTATAAAAATGTCATGTAACTGTTTCATAAACATTTTATGAAGGTTCCTTTTATATGATATGCGATCAGACAGTAATTGACTAAAATTTGAATTAATGGATGTTGCATGTTTTAAAATGCTTCAAGTGGACATTATACCGAGGGAGAAACTTTTAATTTAAAAAAAAAGTCAGAGAGATGGACAAACTCAAAGGGTTATAAGCCATCTCTGGGCAAACTTCTTCATGTTTTTCCTTTTTTTTTTTAAATTTTGAAAGTTTAAAATCCATTTAGCACCTTTGCAATTGTAAATGGCACAAAAGATCTTGATATGGAAACTTCCCAGTTTTGAACAATGAAACTTACTTGACAGCCTTAAATATATTATCACCATCAGGGTGCATTTACTGCATTACATCAAGTTACAATGTTCATTATCTTACTGTATCAGGTTAATTGTATTTTAAAATAATTGTCTAATGTTTTTGCTTTTGCTTTAACATACTCTTCACATGTTTCAGTGTTTAATCCACAAATTTCTTTTTCAACATTCAGTCGTAGTAATCATTGTAATACCAATCGTAATAATCATTCCACATGTTCTGTGTGTGTTGGTCATTGTTTGGCAGCAAGACTGATTTTTTTCACTAGCTCGGATTCATAGGAAACTCGGACTATCAAGACTCCACTATATATATATATATATAGAGAGAGAGACTCATACCCTTCACTTTGTATCTAGTAAATGTTGTTGTAGACTTTTATGAGATACTTATATTTAGTTACACATTTTTGTATTTATTTTTATTTGCACAATGTTTCAATTTATTTCTCTGTGATGCTAGAGATATGGCTTCTTTCACAGGTATTAGGATTTAATTTTTAAAAACTTATCACTAATTAATTTATTGCTTTAAACTTGGTATGGCATATCGTATGATTAAAACAGGGCTCCCATGGGTAAGCAAGAACAGGAAAAATCTGTAATTGTAAGGGAATTTTATTTTAACTCAAAAAAGCCGAGAATAGTCAAGAAAAGTTGCATTTTTTTACAAAACTTTGGAAAATTCTTACATCCAGAATTAAATCTGGAAAGTAACCGGTCTTAAAGTAGTCAGAAACAGTAATCGGTTATTTAGTTTCAAGGTAAATAATTCCAGCTTCTATTACAATTATTTGTTGTTAAAATTCCATAATTCCATGAAAATTCCATGTTTCCATGATATTTTTTGCATACAACATCTAATATTTAAAGTAATGAATTTAAAAAAAACTAAGTTTTCCAATGAAAAATTACATGGTATTGATAAAATATGGTCTGTACTTAAATTGAAATTTTCCTGAAATACCTCGAAAAGTTCGGAATTTTTTTTTCTGAAATTATGTGGGAACCCTCTCAATCAATCAAAAGGTGGAAGAATTAATTGAAAATTATGTAACCACCTTAATGTAAGAATATGTCGTGTTGCAGCAAAATATCGTGATGTTTCTGTGATACATCTCAATGCCAAAATCAATAGTTTCCAATTCTTCAGCATTTTGAAAAAGCATTTCGCATTTTCGTTCAGATTATCACCATTTCGTTTAAAGACTCAAATGTGCATTATATCACATTTAGCACTGTTTTATGATAAATTTTTTTTGTTGATATTACGAAAGCATAACCCAAATTTTTGTGAATATGGCTTTTCACTACACAAAAAATTCGCATATTCTTTTCTTAACTCGCACAGAAGTATAATTATTGCCAAGAAATTGCAAATTTTTAAATCAGGCAACGGTACAATGAACTATATATTTTCTCATAAGCTTAATACTATCTGAACTCATTGTAGCAAGCCTAAATGTTGTTTGGCTGTATTATATAAAATACTAGAAACTTGCATAATGTTAGTAGTAGTGAAGAGATGAATTTTTGAATAAGTCTACAACATATAGAAGATTCTTGCTGGGATCTACTGATACACTAGAACTATACAGAACATTTATTGAAATTTAAAACCTTTTTTATAGTTGATATTTCAAAGAATTAGTATCATCAAAACATTGTTTGATCTATTTTGTAAAATCTGAATATAAATACTGAGACTTTAGATTGTTATGTTTTCAAAATGTGAACGTAGAGGCTATTTAAACATTCCATAAAAGTGCTTATTGGTATGCAAGGTTACTAAATGTTTTTTTAATCATTTGTAATTTATGTAAATGCTAATCATTAAACAAACACAAGTTGTTTTAGTTAAATTTTTAGGATTTTTGTTTAAAAAAATGATGCTTAAAGAGAAAATCAATTCATTCTGAAATCGGACTACCTACTAAACTTGTTTAAAACATTTTTTATGTTACTAATGTTTGAAATTAAAACTTTTTTTAAAAAACAAACTTCATAGTATAAATTTTTTTTTTTGAGTAATTCTTTAACATGAAAATCTCCCGAATTTTCACTCTTAAATACTTAAATGTTGGCAACTAGGCATTTATTATAAAAATTAATTGGACTTGTCAAAGTTTTAAGGAAACTTAGAGTATAATTAGAAATATTTAATTTTTCAGTGAGATGTATTAAGCCAGTATAATCTGCAATCCTCGTCAAGCAGTATTAACAAGGATGGAAAAAGTGTTCAATACTCTGCTATAACTTATTTGTAATCAGCTGGAACAACTACAGGAAACATTACATCGCTCTATAGTTCTATCCCATAAATAATTGCCAGCTACACCTAACTAGACTGGACTGGTAATTTTTTTTTAAATTTTAAGTCTTTAAAATATTTTATTTTACTTTTATGAAATGGTGTAGCTTAAGTAGATGTTTTAAATTAAATCTCTCTCTTGTCTAGAGTTCTCTTTCTTTCTGTTTGATAATTATAATTTGCAAATTTAATTTTCCTGTAAATGAAAGTATTAGTTTACTTATTATTGTTTTTATTATCTTGATATGCCATTAATAGTGACATTTGTATTTTTAATCTCTATTGCTTAGGTGAAAATACATAGTATTTTTTTCTAACTTGGTGTATTTATCTTTTATTTAATCCTACTCAAAATATTTATTTTTAACATTTTGAATGAAAAGCTTTCTTAAAACATTCTATATCATAAAATAATAAAAGTATTAGAAATGATAGACTTGAGTTTCATCATAGGCATTCAGAACATATTTTTTTTCTTTTGAATCTCATTAACTCACAAGTGAATATCAATTCATTTTCAGCTGCTTTTCATAGATTTTCCTTCCCAATATTAATGCATCAAAATAACTTCAATACAAAATTTCTTTTTAGTTTACTTAAAAACTGAGAGATTTTTTGAATTATGTTATCTTAAAACAATTATGGACCTTGAATGTCTTGATAAGGAATCAAACTGATCTTGAAATCATATAGCATTTTTATAGTTCTCAAATTTTAGTTTTTCACTAAGCATGCTTTATTCATAGAAATTTGTGAGTCATTACTTATTTAAAATAATGCTAATATGTTTCTCATATTTACAGTAATTACTGATTCTGTTACTTAAAAGTAATTTCTTTTCCTCTGTAGCATCTCCAATGTATGTCCTCTTCAGTAGCTCTGAAACTTGTGTACAAATTGCTCAAACTAATACTTTTGGCCTACTCACTAAGTTTAAACTATTCAACCTTCTGCTGCAAGTGCATAAACTAATAATTGGATGTCATTTAAGAGAGGACTTTTACAAATGAAATTAATCTTGAATAAAGACTGCTAGCAACTTCATTACTGCAAATTTTACAAAATAAGTTGTGTTTGATTTCAGGTAGGGCTTTATTAAACAATATTTTTTCTTATACCTCATCATCTAATGATAGGTAATTGCATATTTTAAATTTTTTTGACCTACCAATAGCATCTTAAAGCCTAAAAACCTAAAAAAAGAAAGACTGCTGCAAAGACTTACAAAGGATGATTCAACTTTAAAACTTGAGGGCTGTGATATTACTATTACTACATAGTATGTAAAATCCAGTTTGTAAAATTTTGTTTTGAGAAAGATGAATAGTAAATTTGTCGTTCATATAATGCTTATAGTTAAAAAGTGTAGCCATAAGTTGCAAAATTTTTTCCTACCATAAAGAAAATATAAGTAGGTCATTATTCTCTCATGTTTGCTATATGCCCGCATTTCCCAAATTTTTTTGACCATGGCCAGAATGAGATTTTAAAATTTTTCAGGACTCACTTTATGAAAAAGAACCCATTTATTTACAAAACAAATTTTTATTTATAGTAAAATATTTTTTTGTTCATTTCATACACAGAAATTACAAAATAATTATATGAGAAAAATATAAGTAATTAAAAAATTAACAATTATATTAATTTGAAACTTTAGTAAATGAAGTAAACTTTGTTTTAACGTATTTTGTTCTTAGTGCAAAGGGTGATGTTATTTGTCATCATTAAACAATTTCAAATTAGGAGGTAATGATGTAAAATTTATTCTCAAATTAGGTTCATTATACACTTGGCAACACATTCCTTAAGGCAACACATGCAAAAATTAATTAGTGGTGCAGTTTCAAACACTTTTTTCAGATAGGTGTCACATGAAATTCCAATTAAGTTATCAACTTCTTGTTCACTAAGATTAAACATTTCTTCCTTTTCAATTTCAACAGAAAAGGGATCTTTAATCCACATATTATTTGAAAGACAAGCCGAAAAGTAGACCTTAAAACTATTTGTTAGCTCCGAAAGATGTTCTTGAATTGAAACTGATAGTGTTTCTAGATGTAAATCTCCATCATAGTTTGCACGGGTTTCAATAAATTTATGTAATGTTTAAAAGGATTTAAAGTTTCCTTTTGAAAGTCATTGTTTCCCCAGAGTAATTTTTTTAATTATTGCAGCGACATTTTCCAATACTTTGAAAATATTTAAAACAAAGCCTTGTAATTGAATGTATTAAGTATGTCGCACAAATAAGCTACTTTTATTAACTACGTAAAATCTATCCTATAAGTAACCAAAAACAGGGCCTAACTAAGAGGCTACTGGTGCTGTAGCCCCAGGCCCCTATCTTTTTTAAGAACTTCTAAAGTTTATGGAGGTTAAGTTGTTAGATATTTTCTAGCATAATGTCGTACAATTTTCCTTTAGAATCAATGAAAATTTTATTTATATTAGTTCTAAAATTTTGGGAAATAGATAAACAAATTATATCTCTGCCTCTCACTTTGCTAACTTCCTACTTTTTTCTTGTCCTTTTCTCCCAACTTTTTTCCTACTTTTTACCAGTTCTTGGTTATTCTAATTTTCTGTTCATCTACAAAATCCTTACAATTTTGTGGTGTCTCTATTGGATATAACAAATTAAATAAATACAGAGAATTCTAATTTGTTTCTTTCAGTTTTAAAAATTTGTATATTTGTAGTTCTTTTGCTGTTGTGGACATTTAATAAGATATTAATGGTCATTGTAATTATTTTTGTAAATCAGGGATCGCCAAACTTTTTTGATCATCGACCCCTATATAATTTTTCGAAATCTCCATCGACCCCCACAAAAGTAATTTTCTGTTAATTGAAATAAAACTCTATTAGATACTATGTTTGTACATTTATTTTATGATTTTAAACATTTATTAAAGTAATAGTACATTGTGTAACAATAGTTTTATGAAAAATATTTTAATATTGTAATTTAAATACCTTGTTATTGAACAATAAGTAACTATGAATAAGTAGATATAATAAGTAAAGTAACTAAAGATTTACTGCTTCTTGATCAATGAGATGGGTGTGCCTGTTGTTTTTTGCAAGGTTCGCTATATTGGGTTCAAAATTGGTCAATTTTAATTTTCGTCAAAATTGGTCAATTTTGTAATTTTTGTAATAAAATACAAAGTGTGCTATAGTTTTGTCGCGGACTGTACTAATCCGTATTAATGCTTACCTTCTTTTTTGTGCATTCATAATTGGAACTAAACTAAACGAATGGTTTTATCGAAACAATAACTAATTATCCAAAACTATAAAAGTTTTAATAATGACACTGCAAATATTCAACACAGTTTGCAAAGATAGCTGAAACTACGTATGATATTTGCATTCATAACGTCAATGCTCGTCACACGTGACATTTGGACAAGTGCACATATGCATACTGGGGTCTGTTTACATACCTGCCAACTCTTCCGGATTTTCCGGAAGATTTCATTTTCATAATTAAAGTGGTAGTAAGTATATACTATTTTTCCTTTTATAAACTTAATTTTTAGATGATTTTGATCACCACTATTCTTACAAAAATTAAGCACATNAAGATAGCTGAAACTGCGTATGATATTTGCATTCGTAACGTTAATGCTCGTCACACGTGACATTTGGACAAGTGCACATATCCATATGACTTATGAACTGCGCTGAGTTTGTGCCACTGTGCGGTGGTACGTAAATACTTGTTTCACCCCAATAAATATACATTTATTAATTTGTGTTTTATAAAGAAACAGATATTGAGTCAATTATAAGAAAAAATCACAAATTTTACATACTTAATTAGGTATGTGTGATTTGCGTATTGAGAACTGTTTTTTTTTCCGACCCCCATTCGCCCTCTTGTCTCAGATCGACCCCCATTCACCCACCTGTCTCGGATCAACCCCCGCTTTTGTTAAATAGACCCCTGGAGGTCTGTATAGACCACTTTGGCGACCTTTGTTGTAAATGATAAAATATTCCAAAAAACATTTTTTTGTAACGTAAGTGTATTTGGAACTGAATTTTATAAGAAGTTTCAAGATTTCTTAATCTAGGTGAGTTTTGGATAAATTGCTATAGGTAGGGCCCCAAATTACACATTTGCCTCCAGGCCATGTCATACCTTAACCTAACCCTAACCAAAAATCTAAACTATTAGCTTCTGAAATTTCTAAAATAACTCCTAATAAAAAATATCTCTTCAAAGGTAGTTGAAAATTCTTAAAAGAAAACAAAAATAAAAGTGGAATTATAAATGACTTTTGAACTTAATATTTTGAAATGTTTCTTATTACTTTTTTTTTTTTGAAGTATGTCAAGAAGTTCATTGGTTATGCAAATACGTGCATTCCTCTATAATATTACCAATGCAACTAATGAAGGTTTTTAATAACTTTTACAGAGAGAGCAAGTTTATTTCAAAGTGGTAAGACTGCCCCTTAAAAAAGTGTTCATCCAACTCATGTTAAAAAAATTCCTTTAAAAGAATCTGATATTAAAATAAGTTTTGTTCTAAATTCAATACCTACTTTTATTTTTTGATACTGTTATTTATGTAAAAATTTGCATATTTTTATTTCTTTTCAACAGAAAGCTATTCTTCTATTGATAACATTTTATAAATGTTATTCTTTCACATTTTGATAGTTTTACAATATTTAGCTTAGGATTTACTTATAACTTTAGGGAATGAAATTAGTTTTAGTACATTTTTAAGGTTTGCTTTTGTATTTTTAAAAAAGATTCTTTTATGCTGAATGTTGAAAACAAAATTAATGTCTAAAATCGTTATAAAATAACGCACACTCAAATTGTAATGGAATTTTAACAATTTGAGAAAGATCTTAAAGTAATATTTAATCAAAAGTGAAGTTGTCAACACAAATAATATAGTATGTATATATTAGCTATGTATTTAATTTTTTAAGATAGGAAATCAAGCAATTATGCAGTAAGCTAAAATTAATGATAGCTACGTATACTTCATTTAGATATAAATGTGCATTAAGGAAATAAGGATGACATAAATCCTATTTGAAAAATAAATCATTATATAATAGGTTATAAAGATTTTAAAATTCTGTAATAAATAATATAGAATAACTGAACTGAACAAGAACTGAAATAAATAATATGGAAATAATTTTTGAAAAAACCTTAATGTGAAAAACAATTCCCTTTCACTATATTAAATTTTATTTATTTCAATTTGAACTATTCTAATAGTATTCAACCACGAACAATTGTATTGATCCTTCTTAGTCTCTTTGAATTTGTTTTGTGATGATACTATGTTCCTGAACAATATCGTGACTTATTGTAATGTATATGTATTATTTTCTGCAAATAAGCCACATTTTTACAGGATAAAACAAAAAAAAATCTCACAAATTTCTAAATTTTAGTTGTAACTGTTTTGTTTTCAAACTTTTTATACAAAGTATTAATGTTTGATTCATATTTTTATATTTTTTTGTTCTTTGTTTATTTTATTGTGTTACATTTTTTTTCTGTTCTGCACATTGCCTACTCTATCTTTCTGAAAACAGTAAGAATATTTCCATATTGATACCTGTTCATGCTGGCTGAAATCGCTCAAGTACCAATTGCAACGGCTCATTCCATGGCATGCTTCTGTGATTTTTTTTTTTTTTTAAATTTCCAGCCTGCCACTGTCCAGCTTGTCACCAAGAGGTGACGACCATTTTAGCACAGGTACTGATGCAGAAATCCTCTCGAAAAAATCAAATTGTTTTTCAACTAAGTTTATTGTATGCTTTTTTTTCCTTCAAAATTTTTCAGGGAATATACTGTTGAAAATTTTTCGATAATATACTTTTCATATCTTTGAAAATCTATATATTATATAAACAATGATTTATATTTTTTGAAATTAAAGCAACCTATTATAAGAAAAAGAAAAAGAACTTAATGCTGAGTAATTACACTTTATGTGTGAACTTTAAATTATATAAGTTAAACAATAAAACATATGTGTATTTCAGTACGAAACAAAAATAGGTATTTTAAATTATGTTTTTAATTTATGATCTGATGTAATAGAGCCATCTTCAAACTGTATGTTGAACAAATAACTTGTTTCTTCTATTGAAAATTTATAATATCCATTTATGTCATTTTAGTCCATTTGTAAAGAATTATCCATTTATGAACATAGTGGTGTTATTCTCATATTCTTCTGTTAATCACATTAAATAAATAAATAAGTTTAATCTCTTTTGATATTCTTTCTTGCATATTCTTTCTTGCATATTCTTTCTTGCATATCAGACATGTCTTAGAACAAAACTATCTATATAATCTCAAATTTGTAATTATATTTATATTATAATTATTATTTACCCTATAAATGTAGTTAAATTTGACTTCAGTTTTTGCAAAACAGTTTTTTAAAAACTAGATTTTAAAACACAAATGTAAAGATACTTATTAAATTTAGGAACCATAAATTAGCCTATTTATAAAGAATTATCATTTTAGCTTAGTTGTAAAGAATTATCCATTTATGAACATAGTTATGTTATTCTCACATTCTTCTGGTTATCATATTAAATAAATAAATAAGTTTGATCTTTTTGATATTCTTTCTTGCATATCAAACATTTCTTAAAATGAAATTATCAGTATAATATTCACTAATTTGTGATTATTATATCTATTTTTACCTTGTAAATACATTTAAGTTTGGTTTCAGTTTTTACTAAACAGTTTTTTAAATACTAGACTTTTAAATACAAATATAAAGAAACTTATCAGTTATAGGGACCATAAAGCAAAGTTTACCATTATGGGTGCCAGTGGTTATATGCCCCCCTCAATAATTAGATATATTTAAAAGTCCTCTTTTAAATATTTTAAACAAAATGAAATAATTTCCTTGAATCTTCATAATTTAAATTTAGTTAAGCTAAAAACACGTTAAAAGATTTAAAAAAAAAAAAAAATTTAATCTTTTAGCATATATCTAACAGAAAGAAAAAACTTGATTTTTATGTGTGAAATTTCGAGAACTATTCTCTGTATTTCAAGTTGGTCCACCCTTTAAAACTAGATCGCTGAAATACCTATGTTCGCCATATGTTTGTATCTACATTTATGCGTATATATATATATGCTACTGTTCATGTTGGTGACTAATTGGGAAAGTAGTTAGTGCATTCTACCTATATTCACTTAGTACCAAAATAAATAGTGAGCTTCACTCTTGTCCTCACATTTGAATAATTGGCCTTGATTATGTTTCATACTTACATTAAGAGTTTCTCATAGATTATTTGTGCATGATTTGATAAAAAACATAATAATTCTATTTTCATTTGAATAAATGGGTAATTGAATTTTCATCAGCCTTCATATAAAATCATCTACAAATTAACGAAAAGAACAACAACAAAAATTTTTATTGAAAAGATTCGGTTACACATTTGTTGGGAAAAAAATCAAATTATTTCAAACATCCTGCCACCCGCCGAAATGGAAATGTCATTCTTTCTTTAACGAACACATTTTATAGATAGGCCTGGTAACTTCTCCACGAGCTGTAATTTTAACTTGACAACCCTACTAATACGATTGTTTCCAGGAAATACCTGCTCAACTCTGGTAAAAGTTCGCTTTAAAAGAGGTGGAATGTTGGCATTTTTGAAAAAAAAAAACTAAGTCTCCAACATGAAACTGTGAGCCAGAAACAGGCCACTTAAACTTTGCTTGTAGAGTTTGGAGATAATCTTTACTTTGACACAAAATTGAATGAATTGTTTTTGAATTAAAGACCATCTAGATTTGAGACATACGGATGGTGTTGAGTCTCTCTCAGGAAATGAAAGAAGTGAAACACTGACAAGGAAATGTCTGGTGAAAGAGCCTCTGGATCACTTATTTCAGAGGTTAATGGGCATAATAATCTGAAATTAAGACAAGTCTTAATTTGGCACAAGAGCATAGCCAATTCTTCAAAATTCAGTACAGCTGAGTTGGATACTTTCAGCAGGTGTCTCTTGGTTGATTTAATTTTGAATTCCCAGAGTCTGCCAAAATGAGGTGTTACTGAAAGAATAAAGTGCCATGAGATTGGAAGGTTACTGGAGAAATCTTGGACGGAATTGTCTAGCGCAATTTTGTAGAAAAACTTCAAATAGTTACTCTTTTAAAATTTGTTGCATTTTTTTAAGGAATTTTTTGTAAATTTTAGATTCAAATTATGGAAAAAGGAAGAAAAAAAATTGACTACCCAAAGTTTCAGTACACTCTATACACACAAAATACATAAATACATAATGTTACAAACATCTAAAGCCAAAATCAAATTTTTCTGAGGAGGAGTTATGTAGTACAGAAAAATGAGAAACACGGAGTTCCTAACAGGATAATTACATAAACTGAAATATTTATTGTTACCACTATTGATAAGCAAATGTATATTAAAAAAAATGTAAAACGAAAATCATTTATTATATCAATTCTGATTTTATGTAATATAGGTATGAGCAAAATATCTAGTTTTTTTTGTTTCTGAAAAGGATATTATAAACTTTTTATGCGTAACCAAAACAATGCATTAAGAGAAACTTAACACATGAATAAACCAAAGACTGACGAAATTATGAGCTAACCGAAAAAACTTGATTCATGTTCATTTCTGTACTAACCAAATGCAAAAAAATTATGAATGTTAAAAGCAAGACAGGGTTCCCACGGTCCTTGAGAGTCCTTGAAAGTNGAATTTCAATCTCATTATAGAGTGGGAACCCTGCAAGACTAATTTAATTAAAAAAAAGTCAATTAAGAATAAAATCAATTAAAATTACAGCTGTAAATAACTTAAGACAAAAAGAGAAAGAAAAGCCTTGGTAAAAAAAAAACAACTTAAAAGTAAGAAATTTTTTTTATTTAAAAAAAAAAAAATTAAATTAATCATACATTTAACCTTGCGCAAAAATCGCAGGCAAGAACAAAATACCTTGCAGAAAACATTTATATCTCATCATTGTATAAAATTCCTCCCGAAACAATATGTAATCATTTACTACATACTGCAGAAGAGCTGTGATTACTATGCATTATACAAAAATGTATGTAGACAGAAATAAAAAAAATATGTAAAGAAAAATTCACTACATAATAAAAAATATGCTATACAGAAGTTAGGCTTAATAATAAAAAAATAAAAAAAACATTAACCTCATAAACCAGAGCACTAAACTTACAGAAATCAAATATGGAAGAATCTGGACAGAAAATCTGAAAAACCAAAAATGAGCTGAGAAAAGTTTTATTATTTTGATAACCACAACACCAACAACCTTGTCCTCATCTGATAGAGAGCAATCGTAGAGGGAATTGCCCCACATCTACAAACCATTTGCAATAAAATAAATTGAATTATTCTAGTAAGAATATGAAATATTAATGATCCTCAGTAATTACAATAGATTGTTTAAAAAAAAATAAATTATAGTCCCGCAGTGGACTGATCGTTAAGCAGATCACTGAAGTCAAGCATCACTGGCTACGGTCAGTGTGCGGGTGGGTGACCACTTGGATCAGTCTGCGTAGGGACCGAGGGTTTGCGGTATTGGTCCTCGTTAAACTGTTCTACCGTAAAGTGCTTGACTTCTCGCACAGGTCCTCGGGGCTACCGAAGCGGGGGTGCCATCCCCTCCGCAGAGGATCAAAATTGTGATGGCATGTCTTCGGATCATCCTCCGGGATGTTTCCCAGACCGTCGCCAATAGCCCATTGTGCAGCTCTAGTGCGACATAAATTAACAACGATAACAATAAAAAAAAATTCTAAGTTCATGCATAGTTACATTAGGAATGATATGATGCAACATTGACCCATGGAATATTTGACGACCCTCATCAAACTCAACATTATACATATTACTCATAACATTACACATATCACTTAAAACATACATACAAAATGAATTAATTCAGAAAGGCAGTTATCCTGATCTTAAGTTTTATGGACATGTTTTTGGAAAAGTATCACTAGATTTTGGAACATTATTGGCTACATTGGGAAAGGTATCCAAAGGGGATGAGAAAGCAAATTTTGTTTTCTGTAGGGACAGAGACATAAACAGTCAATATGGGCAGTTCACTTATGTGCTGTGGGACTGTCTGAAAGTTGAATCACATAGTCAACATTAAATTTAGAAAGGATGGTGAAGGGTACACCAAATTTTGGCTTAAAACATTGTTATGTTTAAAGTGAACAAAATCACCAATATCTAAAGAACTTAATTCGGCTTTAACTTTTGTCTAGAATTTTGCTTAGCCTGTGCTTTTTCAGAATTATTGTATGCATGTTCATACGCAAGATTAGGTTCATTCAATGTATCAATTAAATAATGAGATTTATCAAGATGCACTGGCTCAACCTCAGTTTCAAAACAGTCAAAAATGAATGAGAGATTATGGCCATAATGAAGCATATTAGGTGTGAATTTTGTAGAAGAATGCACAGTACCATTATTAATATTTTGATGAATTAATAGACTATTAAAAAGCGAGACATCTTTATCATGTAATGTTATAACTGCTTTGTCTCAGTGCTCTCACATACCGTTACTTTGTGGTTGGGCCGCACTGCTGTGGGCTAATTTAATACCCAATTTCTTTTTGATTAACTCTAAAACCTCAGCCTGAAAGTGAGTGCCAAGATCAGATACAACATGCGACCATAATGAGAAATATAATTAAATCAAATGTTTAGCAACAGTCTCAGAAGTTAAATTAGCTAATTGATTTAAATTTAAATGGCAAGAAATGTGATCAATAATAGTTTAGACATAACCACCACCTTTAATTGGACCAACAATGTCCATTGAGACAAATTGACCAGGTGTTTGAGGTATCCACATGGGTTTTAAAAGAGACGGTTTGCTCGAAAATTGCTTTTGCCGTATACACAAGTTACACAAAAGAACATAATTTTAAGTGTCACTATGACCACCTTTTCAGAAATATCTATTTGTAATTTGTTCATAAGTTTTCTGTATACTAGTATGTGAAATATGACATATTTTTGAAATTTTAGCTTTTCATGATTTTGGTGCCACAATTTGGTGTTTATGAGAATAGAGCTCAGTTGCATGCATCAACAGATTATCAGATAAAAAGAAATTTTCAGTTTTCCTCTAATTTACTAAGGAGAAATAATTTCTTGAATATTACGATCCTTAGCTTGTTCAGATTTAAATTGTATGAAGAAAAATTTCTAAGTCAGAGTCAATATTAGTTAATTTATTGATTACATGTTTTTCTACTTGATCAGTTTACTGTAAAATTAGTTCTGAGTCATCAGAATTTAATGCTGGTTGATTTAAATTTGGGTCAGGTGATCGACTGAACTAATCATCTAGAGCATTTTCATGACTATGTAAAAACACAAAATCAAGAGAATATTCACTTTAAGCTAGGAGTCAACATGTTACTATATCAGCAAGTGAAATTGTTTTATGATAATGTTTTAATAGTTTGCTATAACTTAAAATGGAAAACTGTCTATTATATAAATATGATTTAAATGCAGTAACATCTTGAAATATTGCAAAAAGTTCTAATTTAATAGCTGGATAATTTTTCTCAGATTTGTATTATGCTTTGCTAAGAAATGAAACAGGGCAAAGAGATCCCTCATGCTCTTACAGCAATACAGCTGAAATTCCTAATTTACTGGCATCTGTATTGAGGAAATTTTTATTTGTTGGTAAAATCAGGTAATTTTACAAATGGTTTTGAAAGAGCCGCGATGGCTCAGGGGATAGAGCGTTCGCCTTCCAATGAGGCAAACCTGGTTCGAATCCCAGGCGATACGAATTCCGCACCCGGCTTCACTGATCACAGTGCTGACGTGAAATATCCTTAGTGGTAGACGGATCATGGGTTAGAGTTCCCTTGCCATTAGGCTAACCACGAGAGGTTCTGGTGGTCTTCCTTTCCGTGTAACGTAAATGCGGGTTAGCTCCATCGAAAAAATCCCACAAAGGCAAAATTTTTCCAATACTCGATCCAGGAGTTCCCTTGTCTTCTGGATTGGGTTCGAAATTACAAGGCTGCGGAGTTGAACATTAGTAGTCGTAAACCCATAAAATTGGGTCGGCTATTCAATGACGATTATAAAATAAAATGGATTTGAAAAGAAAGTATGCTGCAATGCATCAAAAACTTCTTGTTGTTCAGTAGTCCATTTAAATTTACATTGGTTTGTGGAAACTTAGTCAGAACAGCAATGAATTGAGCAAAATTTGGTATAAGATGACAAAATCCAGATACACCTATAAACTTCTTTACATGCTTAGGATTACAGGGAGTAGCAAATTTTGTGATTTAGTATTATTAGAGCAAGTTGGAGTTATACAACTTATGAGAAATTATAAAACCTAAATATGCGGCGGAATTTTTAAGGAAAAGGCATTTATTTGGGACTAACATTATGTTAAATTGAACCAAGATTTTAAGTAAGACAGAAATTCTGTTAGCCATTTCTTCAAATAAATTTAGCACCGATTAAGAAATCATCTTGGTAAGCAGAGAATCACTTACGCACTTAATTCTTCGATAATTAAATCAACTAATGCCTGAAAAGTGCCCGCTGCCATTTTGAGGCCAAAGACCTGTTGTCTATTTGCGAAAGATCCCAATGGAATAGTAAACGTTAAAATATCTTGTAGATATTGTGGGAGTAAAATTTGTCTATAAGCTTCTCTAATGTCAAGTTTTAAGAAATAAACATATGATGAAACCTCAGTTATAATAGTACTAATTTTACGTAAAGGATAGGTGAAGCTTTCCACAACAGAATTTAAAAGTCTTAAGTCTAAATCAAGTCTATGTTTAGGTTTGCAATTGTTAGAATTTTTCACAACTCTACTAGTCTTTTTATCTAGGTCTAGTGAAGCTGCACAGTGGCGTGGCTAGTATGTCTATGAATTATACCTGCTTCCACTAACCTAATCTAATTGCTTTATATCATCTCTCAAAGCATAGGGTACTTCAAAAGATAAAGTTTTAATAGCATTATTATTTTTTAAAGTTAAAGAAGGAGTTTCAGGACCAGTACATTCAAGCGTTTTTGTGGTTCTTAAAAAAGCAGCAAATTTCTTAAATAAAATTTCTTGAAGTATTTGTTTTTGTTCTGTGGTTAAATGCTCTAAATCAAAATCAGTTTGTTTTAATTCATTTTTCCTTAAATTTAAAATCTCTTCAGAAGCAGTAATTAAATTGCACTTTTTTATATCATGATCTTGTTGTAAATTTGCATCATTATTATTCTGAATGTTAAAATTAAAAATTACAAAGCCAATTTTTGGATTCTTATTTAAATGAACAGTTTGTTCCAAATTACTAGGGTATTAAATGAATTATTATTTACTACACTAATTGAAGGCTGTATATCAACTTCAGAATTACACTCAGGTTAAAAATATGCATCTGTACCTTTCTGTTGACAAACATTTAAAATATTTAACTTGGCTATATGAGTATCACCTGGTTCGATACTTGGTCAGTGTGTCTGACCACAAAGCCGAATCCCGCTCAGGGCATGGATGTTTCTCTTTGTGTGTTCTCTATTGTGTGATGTGTGAATGTGGCCCACCCTATAAAACGGGTATCTGTGGCAGTGTGGCGTGGGTAATGTTGCTTGCCTCTGTGACTTTGGTCTCAAGGTGCTCACCAGGTATCGCAAAATGAGCAACACTTACGGCACCTTCCATAGCGAAGAACGATAAATTCAGTGCCTGTGGTTAAGAAAAAAGTTCATTAGCTAAAACAACAGATATTTGCTCATTCTTATCTTTAACAGAAAAAACATTATAGTTATCTACACTGAAATTATTTAATTTATTAGTAAAATTATTGAAATGATCACACTGCGTTTTACAATCAATGAGAACATTATGTTTTTCTAGAAAATCATATTCTATAATTCTTTGGAATGATGTCTGAAAAAATGATTTTCTATTTTAAATGAAATTTCAACGCATGTTAAAAATTGTAACTGGGAATTAACTGTTCTATTTTGTACCTTTCTAGATAAATACCTAACTTTAAGGTTATGGTTAATTTTCTTAACAGTGTTCAAAGTAAAGAAATTGAAGAGCCAGAGTCAATTAGAAAATTTACACCAATATTATTAAATTTAGATTAAATTGTTGGGAAGTTTAATATCGATAGAAACAATATTTACTTTTTCAATCGTTTCATCAATATCACCAATTAAGAAGTTTTTGATTGACAAATTTGAATTATGCATTTTAGATGACATGAAATAATTAATGTAAAAAGTGGATGAGGAAACACGGTCATCCATTACCCTTAAATTTCTGATTCTGACCTCTTAATTCTGAAGGATTACTAGCATTATTTACATCAGTTTCCGAATGAAAAGTTTCAGTTTGAACTAGAATAAGTGAAAGCACATTGCTACAGAGCATTGAATCTATGTGGGGACAGGGAATTAGAGAGTAAACTGAGGAAGTGTTATGCTTTGTATACTAGGATTAATGGGACCTTGGTTAGTATTTGATGTGGTGAACTTTTGTATTTCCTATAGTCTATCATTAAATGATTAGGTTTTCCTCAAAAGGCACAAAATAGAATTTGAGGGTGGTTGGTGCTGTTAATGTTCAACTTGATCCTGCAATGGCACCATGATGTATGCCTTCTTAAAATCATAAAATGAATAATGAATAAGGGTTATAAGTTTATTATATAAGTTAATAATTAAATTATTATTTTTAGGATAAGTAAAAACTTTTAATATAAAAGGTTTACTAAGTGAAATTATTTTTATTAAGTGACCTTTTTGTCAAATGAAAAATAATGAATTTATAGGCCGAAAAAAAATCAGTATAATGGAAAGTACAATTGCGAATGTTATTCAAGCAGAAACCTCTAACAAGGAATGTTCAAGCAGTTTCTTTAAAAAAACATCACAAAAATGACGTTAAAAAAATTATACTACCTTAATGGAAATTCTGATGTCACTGAAAGAATAGAGAAGAAGAAGAAAATAGAAAAAAAAATGGTCGTTATTTCCATGGACAAGATGGATCAAGTAAAGCAAAGGAGCATTGTTGTCAGTTGTTGAAGAAGAATTTAACCTCTATTATCGGAGACCAAGCAGGATTTGGGGACATTCAATTCCAAGAAACAGCAAAGTCTGGAGAAGATTGCACCCTTCTATGTGAAGAAAAAAATCAGGAACTGCCTAGCATAAGAGGAAAACTACTGGGGTGAAAGTGCCATTTTTACTCCCATCGGAGTGAAAGAAAATGGTGGGGAAAGTTTGAATTTAGAGAATAAATGCTACAGCATGCTGGTAAATGTGTGAAATATGTTCTTTCTGGGGATGTCTTGGTATTTATATAGGAGCTTATTTCTTCCCTAAATTTAACATTTTTATTAAACTTATTTTTGCCCCACTAAATTTAATCAGCCAATATTTATTTTTTGGAAAACTTAGAAGAAGTGAGTTACAATTAACACTGAAACAATGCTGAAATCGCACATGTCAGTCAAAGAAGCAGACAAACAGGTGCACGGCGCCTGGCAGACTAAGAATTTTGAATCAGCAGAAATTTATATGGCGGCCTTAACGAGGGAAAGGGTGAAAAATGCAAAATGTAATTCAGTGACCCAATGTCACAGTCATGTTATATTATTCTAAGCAAATTATGCTTTTAGTTTGCCTTTCTTAAAAGTAGGTTTGGTATATGTATACTATTCCAAAAAATGTCCTGTTTTTCTCTTAAAGATGTTCATATTTTTTCTTTGGCTTACTACTAAGACTGCTGTAGGTCAGGACTATTTGCTGTACCTAGCATTGTACCCTGGATAGGCCTCAATTATTTGCAACAGGTCCTTTCTGTGAACTTTGCCTCTCACACCGAATAAAACAATGTCCAATTTTAAAATGTCCAAATTTAATCAAATTTAGAAGAAAATAATTGGAAATAACTGTTATCCAAGCATTAACTTCCAATGGTCTAAGATACAAAAAGTTCTAAAATGTATGACAAAAGTGGTTCAAAGAAAGAAAAAAACTATATTTATAGACAAACACATTATGCGTTTCCCATGATTATTACTTTCAATTATTTGAATTATTACTTTTTCCATAAAAAAAAATAAATTAAAAGTTGATCCAAGGTACAAAGCTCTTCCCTTTACTTTTTCTTCAATTTTTTACAAGGTTTCTAAGAATAAATGTTAAGGGCTATCGCTATGGAATACTTAGTACAGCTAAACTTCATATAAATTAATTTGTCTATTGGATAATTACCTGCTTCATAGAGAAATCCATTATGTTTTTTTAATACTTGTTCTGAATAAAATTATGCTTTTTTAAAAAAAGTTTTTATATGTATATACAGCTTATTTATGCATGCAAACTCTTTATAAGGTTTTGATATTTATTAATAGTTATTGCAATTCTGAAGTAATTTGAATACCATATTATTAAATCTTTTTAGTAACTATCTTTATTTCATTTGTCTAAAAATATTTTAAGTTCAATCTAGCAATTTTTAAGTTCAATCTAGCAGTTCAATCTAGCAATTTCAGCTTTGCTGCTATATTCAAGTGTAACTTCAATATTAGATATAGCTTAGTCAGTTTTAGGTTAGTTAGTCAGTTAGTGACAAATTTATTATCAATATTCATTAATTCTGTCACTTTCCGTGTCAAAAATAGTGAAATAAACAACTGTCATAAAATAAACAACACACGCACACTCGTGTAAATTTGCTTAGCCCATGTTTTGTAAGCTTAGTAAAATTTTAATAGAGTATGCTAACTAGGGTTATATATATATATATATATTAATGTAATCATTAGCTGCCCAAGTTTTTTTTTTTAAAAAAAAAGCTATTTAAAATATTTAAATTGATTCAAATGAGGATAGGTTAAGTCTAGTGCTATGTATGAATACAGCCCAAATGAAGGTACGAAAATGAACATAGATTTTTATACTTTCTGTTCTATTAACAAGAACCTTCCTCAGGGTCTATACACAAATAAGCAGAAAAGCAATGTATGCATTTTGTGTTTTGACACCGAGGAAGATTTTTGTCTATAGAACTGAAATTTATATTAGGTTTTGTGTCTTTATTTGTGTTGTATTCACATTGCTTTACTTTATTTAAATTTATCTCAAATAAACATACCCGTTTTCCTAAATTGAGTTTTGAAACATACTTTTGCTTCATTATTATTTTTTTATGTTTTTAGTCTTATTTTATTTTTATCAACAGTATGCCTATACTATTATCCTCATGTTTATATTCAGTTTTCAATCTCATATTTTCTTTATAATATATTATGTATATCTTAAACCACTTTTTTAAAACTTCCTCTAAAATGAAAATGAAAAAGGAACTTTTTTTTTTCTTATTTTTGTAGAACGCATTTCAAATTAGTATAGAAATCAATGTATTGTATCATTGATTGAAATAACGGGAGCTGTATTATGCTACCATCTGCTGAAAATACATGTAGTGTATGTATTTAAATGCAATTATGCATTCCCTATAAACATGCAGTCCTATTTATTTTAAGTAACGTGTGTTTAATATAGTAAAACTAATTATATAAACCCTAAAACAATTAACTGCTTGCTTGACAAAAGTAAAATAAAAATCAGGTGAAGTTTATGAGGCAAAATAAAAACATTTATTGGCTGAACTTCACTCTTTTTAAATATGGAACATCTTTTTTTTTTTTTATATTTTTTAAATACGAATATCACAGAAACATAGTGGTACTATATCATTATTTCTTACACTAGAGACATATCTTTCCTTTTTTTCAACAGTTTTAATATCAAGCTAAAACTCAGTAATAGTCATCCATTTTTGTTGCTTGTAGCAAACTACTGATAACTCCCAAAAACTAAGGGTTACCTGGAGGGACTCGATTATGAAATCTGTAAGTTTTGCAAAATTTTGGCTGAAGAATAATATTTTTAGTTTAACCTCTGAATTAACTTTTGCCCATTGATTTCCTGAAAATAGCCTGTGCTAGTGAATATGGGTCTTATTCTATTAAAATGGTAAGCCAAAAAATTTTAAAAATAGCAACAAAATGTGGTGATTAATTAAGACAAAAATCGTCATCTTAGAAAATTTTAATTTTTCGTCGGAGATCACTGGAGATGTATAATGTTGTTCATAGTTAAAAATAGCAGTAAATGAGTATTATCCTTCTACTTGATATGTTAAATATCTTAATTTGCAAGTGTGCTTTCTATAATAATGTTTTAAATTATTTTTTCTTAATTGATTCAAATATGCTGAATAACAATATTGATTTAATGAAATGTTTCAAACTCTTGAAAAATTCTCAAATCCTTATAGATTCTCATTAGTATCGTCATTAGCCATTTTTAGAGATATTATGTATACAACTGCTAACAAAAAAGTCATATAATTTATCAAGATTTTGTAGAAGTTTGAAATTTGAAAAGCAGTTATTGTGTCATCTTTAGCTATGACTTTGGGCTTACTTTTGGAGTTCTGATTCTGCCTGTGCCCAAATAATTTTAATCAGAGCCCACCCAAGCCTGAGATACATGGAATTACTTAGAGCCCAAGTCCGCCCGAGATATACATCAGATAAAGGCCAAATTTTGTGCCTGAGGCCTTTGCTGCCTAAACTAGGAATTTAGTCCTTAAAACTCTTTTTTATCAAAATTAATTATTCAAATTATTAGTGAAATTATTATTAGTGAAATTCAAAATTATTATTAGTGAATTCTTATACATAATTAGTATATATAATTAGTGAATTCTTAGTAGCACCTAATGAAACAGTTGAAAAATACTTGTTATAATTGATCATTGTTATATTGCTACTTCTTTGACTATGTAAATCCTACCGTGGTTATTTTCTATCATGTTGGTTTTATTTAAGTTAATTGTTTCTTAAATAAAAAGTGCTTTGCTTAAACTAAATTAAATAAATTTACACAATAAAAAAGTGATTAAATTTAATGTTTTTTTTTCTTCACTTTTTGACCTAATACATGCATCTGTTCAAAATGACTCAAGTAACAAAACAAACACATTTAACATATATCACAGATATCTTATTTGCAAATATTATATTCAAACAAATTTTTCAAATGTACTGTTGAAATGTTGCAATAAATATTTTTTCACAGACATGGAAGGTAAAAATAAATGCAAAACATAATAGATGTTTCAGAATAAATATTAAACACAAACTAGACATTTTACTTGACAAGTAGAGCGTTTTAAAACAAACTAATAAACTTGCACCATTCACAATTTTTTTCTTCTATATACAAGTGTGAATTTAAAAAAAAGTATGTTTATAAATAATAATTACTACACAGTTTCTGAATTATTAAACTTGGTCATAGAATTTTATATAATTTATAGTTATTAACTTGCTATAGTTAGAAAACAGTTTATATTCTTATATACATATTATGTTATGAATTAATAGACTCATGTCTATTTAGATCAATGTTAGTATTTAAAAATAACTAAAATAAGATCAAATCTACAAGGGCTGTTTTCTAAAGTAAGGACCATTTTGTTGTGTACACTAATAGGTAACACATGCGTCATGTCCTGGCATTCCTTGGAAGCAACTGTGCTCAGTAATAAGTAACCCATATAGTTAGTTCTGTGTCATTAAAATGTTCAAGTTTAACAAATTGCCCCTTTGCGTATAAGGTACAGTCAGTGTTGTGTTTTTAGTCTGCAAAAATGCATTTACCGGCAGATTTGTAAAGTTTATGAAGCTTCCTACTGGCATGCTGACAGAAAATTTTGCTACTCCATGACAATGACTCTCTCCACAGCTCAGTCCTGAGCTTTATTGAACTCTTTTGGCTGGAAAGTTTTGGACCACCCCTCAACACAGCCCAGACCTTGCGCTAAGTGATTTTCACCTTTTCCAGTGTTTCAAACATCATTTTCGCGGCAGCTGGCAAGTGTAAGATATAAGTGTTTTAGCAAACTTTGTAATTATTTTGAAAAAAGAAACGTATGTAGAATAAAAAAAAATTTGCTTCTTAAAAACTTTCTTTCATTTGGTTTTATTTTCAAATGCCTCTTGCATAAAAAACAGCCCTCGTATTAAGATCAATGTTAGTATTTAAAAATAACTAAAATAAGTTATTGACACAGTATTTAGTTACAGTGTTTATTTTAAAATTAATTTTGTACTGTGTGTTTTTCGTAATCAATCATACAGTTTTAAACCTAATGATCAATAGTAGTAAAATTGCTCTTTTTTAAGGAGGTTATTGAGTTATGCCCTAAAAGTATAGAAAAGAACCAGACAGTTTTTCCAACATCACACTAAAATTTATGGAAAATTAACCTAAGTAGTTCCTCAGTTTCATTACTGTACTTTTATAAATATGTTTTCTATATTTGCAATCAGTGATTATTTATTTTAATGTGCTTAACTACATTTGCCGTCAACTTTGCATCATAAGATTTAATATTTGTGAAAAATTTCTTTTTATTCAGCATCTTTTAGAGTTGAAATACTAAGTGTTTTAAATATTCAAAATAAATATTTGTTCCATTAACCCTGTTTAATCTTAGGGGTTTAAAAATGTTTTTTCTTTAATATCAGTTTTAAAACGTGTTCGCTTAGTAAAAACTTACTTGTATGGACTCAATAGTATGCTAGAAATGTGGTGTGAAAGGGATTATTTTATTTACTAATAAATACGATGTGTAAAAAAATTATGCAGCTCTGAAAATTATCAAGGAAAAATTAAAATTTTTTTAACTTAAGAAAAATTTTAAATCTTTCTACAATTTAATTCTGTAGACTTTTAAATGCTGAAAAAATTTCTGATTGCAATTGATTGCTTCCTTGAAATTTCATTTTGTTTTTTGCTACTTTGAGAAACAATCCAAGATTATGTAACAATAAGAGGTAATTTGATTTAGCTATATTAAGAAGCAAATGTAAGAGAAATGTATTTTTTTTGTATAAAGTAGAATTCAGTTGTTATGAAAAAAAGTATTTTAAAAAACTTTTTATCTCACAATGACTATTATTGTAAATGAAAAATATTTTGACAAATATCATTAAAAACAGATTTAATTATAAGTTTATCATGTTTTCCAGGTTTTTGAAGTTTCCCAACTCAAAGATGGTTTTGGTGGTTTTAATGAACATTAGAGTTGGTTTCAACATTTGTTGATTTCAAGAGGTAAGTTTCATGTTAAGTTTAACTATGTTAACATGTTTTAACTTTTTGTCAATGTCTTGTGTTTCATTAAAATTACAAAATACTTCCAATTTCAATTAAAAATCAACAGAGAAGTCTAACTTCTATTTTTTGGCAATATTTATTTATTTTTTAAATTTAAACAGTTTTTCAGTTGCATTATTTAATGGTAAATTTTTTTATGGTAACTTGCTTCCTTTTTAAAATTCAACAGAAGTCGAAATGTCTAATTAACGAGCTTGAAAATGTATCTAAAATTTGCAGTTTTTGATAAACTGAATGTTCTATGAAGATTTTATAATTGGTATAATTTTTTTGCCGACTGTACTACAGCTTTATGGGCCTGAAAGTTAATTGTATAGAAATTAAAATATATGAAGCTGATTTTGAAATATCAGAATAATAATAAGAATAAATAAACAATTATAATAAGAAAAATCTATTAAGTCACCCAATTTAATGAATAACATACTGTTGCATATGTGTGTAGTTTTACTATTCTTCTACTGCAATGTCTGAAACTGATATTTTTTTAAAAAAAATGATGTTATTTATCTCTAAATTTCAATACATATGTATTTAAGGGAAATATATGTGAGAGAAACAGATAAAATTTGTTTTGAACAGTGAAAGTAGTTGCAAAAGACTAAAGCAGACAATAAGTCTTATTGAATTATTTTGTTATTATGTAAAAATTATGATGACCGTTATATTGTAGTTAAAAAATATAAGCATAATATCATACACTTCATTAATGTAACATCTGAATTTGGCACACACTTTAAAGGATTTAATTGACATGAATTTTTCTAAATTTGTAAACTCTCTGTTATCAATTTTGATTAGTAAATGTATTGAAGTTTGTATTTTTTGCCTGGGAATAAATTCTAATGTTTTTTTTAAAGTTTATCTATGAAGTAACATTATTCTTAACTTTCCCATTTTGTTTAACATTTTGAAGTAAGTTTTAACTCGGATAGAATTTTCTATAATGGCGATCTTAATATTATTTTTTAAATGGTCATGTTTTGTAGAGTACCACTTGGAAACTCTTTCATTTTCATGCTTTGGTGAAAGGTCCAGTCTAATTCATACTTAATTAAATTTCACATCTGAAAAAAATTACTGTGGATATGGAACTGTACTGCATGGGAACAAAATTTTTAATTACACTGAAAAATCTTGTTAATCAAAATTGTTGCCATATTTTGAAAAATAATAGGCATGCAATTTTGAATTACCTAAATTTTTCTAACAATAGAAAATTGAAGAAATTTCATGCTTGGCCTCTTTTTAATTACGTCAATTTTAAGGTATTTATATTCTCCAAAAATAAACTCACTATTCAGGTTTTGCAAGAGTTTATTTCTAAAAGTTTCTTTTGTTCATTAATATAAAACTTTTTGGGGCAGGATAATTTTAAATCTTAAGATTAAGGTTTAAAGAATATTTACAAACTTAGAATCAACTGTGTGTACACTTTTATTTGATCTAGTTTTTCAAAAACTCTACGTTGTGAATGTTTTAAAGGTAACTGTAATTCAGTTTTTGATACAGAGTGTTTACAAATTTGTTTCAAAATAATACATTGATAAATAAATTGTCTCCAGGAACTTAAAAATGTATTAAAGGACTAGCTAGACAGTACTCATACGATATGGAGCACATGCACATCATCCATTAAGAAGAGGAGCTGTTTCATGACATTTTGTTGTGATATTTGGGGAAGAAGTAGATATTTTTATGTCCTTTTCATCTTTTTTTGCAGGTTCAAGAAAATTCCAATGCTGGCTGTTTTTACTTTCACTTATATTTTTGTTTGTAAAGGTATTAATTTGTGATATCAGAGTCTGATAGTTTTCTTCTTCAGGTTCTTGAACAATAATTTCACTGATAGATGAACGTAAAGTACTTGTTCTTGTTTTTGACGAGCTGCTTACATCTGCATAATCTATTTCATGACTAGGTAAAGACTTGAATGCAACTGGTAAACCACTTAAAGATAGTTTTTTAAGTGAATTGTCAGAGGAAGATTTTTTTGCTCCCTCCACATTTAATTTAATACTAATATCAATCAAACTTTTACATTTTTCTGTATCTCCTTCTTTGGTATCAACTTGAAGTTTGGATTTTGGGACATATTGAAAATTTTCTGGTTGTTCAATTTCAACAAAATTGTCAGTCTTCTTCTCTTCCATTGGATTAACTTCAATATGTGGTCTTTGAGTTGCTGCAAATGTTTTAACTTCTTGTAAAGAAAAATCAAACAATGTTTTTTCTTCAGAGGGTGAACATTCATTCGATAATATCAACTCATCATCTTTGGAAGAGCTTGTCTCATTTTCAGCATAACTACTGTCTGCTAACTTATTATAAAAGCAGGCAAGCCTTTCATTCAGTGCTTTATCTTTTTGTTGTTCTCTTGCACATTTTGGACACAAAGTATCGATGTTTTTCTCTGTCAAACATCTAACTAATTCTTGTCTGTTATGAGTCTGTGACTTCTCCTCACTTACTGCTCCTTGTCTGCAGAGTTTAGGCTTGTTTTCTCGACTCTTTCGCAGTGATTCCCTATTGCTCATTATTGCACTGTTTAACAATGGTCTAGAGGCACGTGGCTGGGTAGAACTGTCACTGCTAAAGCTTGAACGGGACATGTGAAATGTTGAGGTGGATGAATCCTGACGACTGTATGAAATATTTGAATCTTCTGAAGCCTTTCTTTGAAGAGACCAAGATCCTTGTTTACTATCTTGATCAAATAAGCGCATTGGTATAGTACCTAAAATGAGATAAATATGTGTTGGGTATAATTCTTAAAAGTAAAATTATAGCATTTCTTGAAATATAAATAATGCTAATAATATAAAACAATCTTTGTATTTTATGAATACATTAGAGGAATGAATTAAATAGTTCCTAGACTGCAATTTTTTTAAACTCATTCTTTATTAACTAATTTCTAATTTAAAAGATTGTTCAATTGGTATATTTGAATGGCATAAATTTATTTCTGAAATGTTATGAAAAGAGGAAATGAAATGCTTAAAAATATGATTCGGACCAACTTAATAAAATAATTATCAGTGGTTCTCTGGACCAACAATTGATGTAAAAGAATATGCTATTTTGGTTGTTTAATATTAAGTTAAGAGTTTTTGTCACAATATTTCCTCATAATTGTGAAACATCCTCCATAATGTTTTTCATTTAAATTCACTTTTTAAAACTTTTTTCAAAATCTAACAGAGACATGTAAATGGGTCAATAAAAATGTGTATGAATTGGTTATATATTTTAGTTACAGGTTCTTTGAATGAGTGAATAAGTTTCTTTAATTTCTATTTCCAACATTTCATGTTCAAAATTCTGAATGTATTTATAGAAGTTTAGACATTTTACCTTTAGACATTTTCTTAGAGGTTATCTTAAAGATCAAGCCTACATCATTGCCCCAGCAATAATTGAAGTGCTTGAAGATAATACCAGAGCTAACATCTAGTAAATAACCAAATTGTGCTAAAATATGATAGAAAATTTTTTGAAAGGAATTTTCTTGTAAGAAGAACAATATTTGCTAAACAGCTGTTTTAGCTCTTCTTACTAGTAAGTTCCTTTCAAGAAATTTCCTATCATGTTTTAGCACAATTTGGCTATTTGGTAGATATACCCTCTGGTATTGTCTTCAAGCACTTCGATTATTGCTTGGACAATGATGTAAGTTTTATCTTTAAGATAATCTCCAACAAAATGTCTGAAGGTAAAAAGTCTAAATTTATCTAAATACATGTAAAATTTTGAACATAAAATGACAGTGACAGATGGAGAAATTAAGGAAACTTAGTCACCCATCAGAAGATCAGTAATTAAAATATATTACCAGCTCATACACATTTTCATGGCCCATTTACATGTCTCTGAGATTTTGAAAATAATAGTAAATTTAAATGACAATAATTATAGAGAATGTGTGACATTTACATTTATGATGAAATATGTTACTTGAGACAAAATTCAAAACTGAAAATCAAAAAAACTAAACCAATATATCATTCTTTTGCATAAATTGTTGGTCCAGAGGCACTAGTAAGAAGAACTGAAACAACTGCTTAACAAATATTGTATTCCATAATTAAGTGCATATTTTGTACTTAGAATTGAAATAAGTATACCACAAAATTTCTCTGAAAACTATTGTTTTTTAAATGAATGAAATGCAAACTTCTTGTTAAAACACTTTAAGTACAAGATTATTTTACCTGTATTAGTACTTTGTCTCCAACTATCTGAACGAGAGGAAAAATTTTCACTTGTGATGCTAGTTATATGCTTGCTTCGTTTTTCTAAGTTCTTTTGAATTTGAGCTATAGCATATGTAAAACCATCTCTCTCATTTCTGTCTACATCTTTCTGCTTACACAAAAAATACTTTCGGGCCCATTCTTTCCAACCTCTATGGGATGTATCTTTGCTGCTGCTCCATGAAGTTTTGCTGCACTGACAAGTTTCAGTTGAATAGTTTCCACCTTTATTTGGATCACTATTACTTCCAGCATTCGCTGCAGCTTCAGCAGAGTTAGTTGTGATGGGTGTATGTCTATTTGAGAAATTAGAACTATGTCTTCCTCTGCCTATTCCTCTGGTAACTCTTGATTCTTCTATTCGCTTGCATATGTGAACACAGTCTTTCTTAAACTGTTTTGTAAAAATTGCATAAAGGAAAGGATTGGCGCAGCTGTTTAGTGGTAGTACAAATATTGCGAAGACCTTTGCTTCCTAAAATAATGAAAAGCATTTTTGTAAACATGCAAGGTTGATAAAGATGAACCATGATTTATTTATATTTTCACATATCTAATTGTAAGGAAGTTACACACTTTTGCAGTTTAAATTTTAATTGTTTTTAACCTAATACTGATTCATTTTCTTATATGACTCAATTAATTTTATTATTTTTATACTATCCCATGTCTACCAGTATTCAGGATATCTTGGTAGGCATGCGATAAAGGTTACAAAATGCTGTTCAACTTTAGAAGATGTGGAATGAACCTGATTTTTCTCTTTTTTTGCATAATGTACACTTAGAAAATAGGTTTTCTCAATTTTTTTTAATATCATTGAGTATACCTGATATTTTTTAAAATCTAGAAAATGATTTGTGGTAACAATCTATTAAAATAAGTCTACTCTTTAAGTTATCCACAATTTATTCAAGAATATGAAAATATATTTAGGTGTTAAAAAAGTAAATTAAATTTTATAGATTTTGTTTGTCAATTTGTTTTTTCACTAATTTTTTAAACTTTTATTTTAATTTATCGCATAGTTGTACTTTTTTTAACACCGAGTTTATTTATTTCATTGCTATAGTTCTCAACAGAGCAACAAATGATCTATCATTAGCAAATTTTATGGACTAATGCTTGAAATATATTGTCTTTTAATTATTCATTTCATCTTGTATGTAAGTGTATTTTTAATTCAAATTTTTAGCATTTACTGAATTTATCTCACTTTGTAGCAATACAACAAAACTGGAAATTGATATTATTTATTGCTGGACAAAAATCTTTTTGTACAACCAAAGAATTAGAATCACTGAAAAGGATGACTTAAGAAAGAAAAACATAATCAGTAACTTAGTAAGTAGCACAACTGTCATCATTACTATTAATTTTATAGAAAAATGTATGTTTAAAAATTTTGTACTTATTTTCAATACAAAAATATGGAAAAATAGTTTTTAAATATTTCACTACTTAAAAGTAATTTCCTGGAAATTGTTATTAACTCAAATTGTTTTTTATGTATTTAAATTTTTTTTTATAAAAGGTAAAGCTTGAGTGTTCAATAAAAGTAATTTATTATTTGAACAATTCTAAATGAGATATTTATTCTATGATCACTTTGTAGCTTTCAATTTTGAGCTTTTGTTGTTGAATAGACATTTTCACTCATTTAAGGTCACAAATTACTCTAAACTTGTATTTAAAATTACGAGTTTTACAATTGTGCAAAAAAAAGAGATAAAGATTTTTTTCCCCAAGTATTGTGATTTAGAAAAAAATTAAAAAAGTAATAAAAATGCCCTCAAACTCTAAAATGCTCTTCTAAAAGAACTATTGCGATCATATTTTCCTAATCCTTATGTTCCTTATGTTTTAAATGTGTCAAAAAAAGTATGTTCGTTTAAAGAAAATACATTTTTCTTAACAATCTTACTGTTCTTGTGTAATTTTATAATTTAATTTCTGCAAGGTTTAAACTTTTGGGCCATTAAGATTATATTTTAGAACATGAAAATCTAATTTTTAAATCAAAAGATATACAAAAGTTTGATTTTTTATTTTGAACATTCTATTAGCTAAAATTAATAAAGTTAATTGATTTATAGTTTGGATCAAATAAAAAAGAATAGTTTTCATGTTGTATTCTGAGAAAGATATAAATTATGAAGCTGCTGATATGGGTCTCTTAATGTCGCAAATTATTGAAAGTTCATATTAATGCCAAGTACTTCTCTTGGTGAGGTAAAATGTAACAAAAATATTATAATATTTAAAAAGTAATGTTGAAGAAAATTGAAAAAAAAAAGTAAAGGTGCACCTATCATTTACATATAAATTCCTAAATGTAATGGTGTTCTTGTTTTTTGCCAAGTTATGATCGATACTCCAGAAAAAAGAAATAGTTATACATTCAAATTATTACCTCCAATGATATAAGTTGTATTCCACATACAGCAGTCAAGCTAAAAAAAGCAATTGGAGCCCAACATATGAAGTCAGTGAATACCAGTAGAGCCATTCTTCTCGCAATTCGAGAGTCATTTGAGTTCCAGGCTTGAGAGCCCCTAATGGCACAGTACATTTTTAAATAACAACCCATGAGGATTAAAAAGGCTACTCCATTAATCAAAATAAGGAACACAACATAAGTCAATGACCAAACATCTTCAGTTTCAAAGGGAAGGCAAATGGCAAACTTTCTATAGTCACTGACACCAAATAATGGCAATGCTGCCATGGCACCAGCAAATGACCAACCAATAAACATTATGTAGCCTGCATGACGGAGAGATAATCTTTTGTTCAAGTGCATGGCATGGGTGATAGCATAATTCCTTTCAAGTGTAATAACAGAGAGTGTAAACACTGACAGCTCGGTACTTAAAACTCCAAGGAATCCAGCAACTTGACAACCAATGGAGGTTTGCCATTTTATTGCAGATACCTAAAAATAATATGATGGAAAAATAGTAAATAAACAAATATAAAACAAAAATTATTCTACATACCAATAACATTAATGAATTCAGTTGCAGACAACCTGCTAAGAAAAATACAAAAATTTTCAGTTAATTTAATAAGTCATAATTTTTTTTATTTAACTCATTTCTCTATTTTGCCAGCAAGAATGATTAACCTTTTTTTTTGAGGTATAGTTTTATTCGAATGAAATATTCATAATATATATTATTTGTAATTTTATTAAAAATAAACAAATAGAGGAGCACGTTTTAATCATTAATGCTGTCTTTTAATTTTGAAAAGTTTTTTCAATTTTAGAAGAAAAAGAAAGGAATATTATAAAGTGCAATAAATAAAAAGATGCCTTCCTCAGTTTTTATATCTTTCAACATCTTTCCAGTTACCACTTTTTAAAGTGTTAAACTGTGAGATCATTGCAACCTTAAGTTTAAGAAACCAAATTATATTCACGATACTTTTTAAGGATTTTGTCTTTAAGCAACTTAAATTTTTTAATGATTGAGATAAATTAAAATACAACTTTTGACCTAACATTTTTTTATAATATAACATCTTAAGTTTCACCGTGAAAATGAAATAGTTACATTTTTAAAAGCTTATACTAGCATTAATCTCCAAAAATTATTGTGATGGTAACCACATTTTTCTTCTTGCACAATCATTTGAAAATGCTAAATATCAAAACTAAAAGCACAGTTAGAAAGGTTTTTCCTTTTAAATTTTGTACAAATTATGATACGAGAGGATGAAAATTTTCAGACCTCATCAAGAGATGGTGTTTGTATACTTATGTTTGAAATTTTCCTCAATCACTTAATCTTGTAAGAAATTTTATTTTTTCTAGATTCTTAAAATTATTTTTTCCTCCTGCCTTAAAAAGATGCTCTTATCAGTGTCAAAAAGGAAATTGAAAAGCCATAAACCAATTCCTTTAAAATTACTTGAAGCTGCTGAAATTAGAATTTTACATTAAAAGATTCTTTTCCTTTCAACTGCAACTTTTAAAAATTAGGTGGTTAAACTTTAAAGGAAGCAGGACAAACACCAGCCAACAGTGAATAATATATTGATGTAAAAAGATGAAAATCATTGAAAAAAATCCAAAAACGTGTTTTTATGGTGAATTTTGATGGATTAATTGAATTTTTTTTGATATTATATGAACACATGAGAAATATTTTCATTAACATTAATGTGTAAACAAGCTTTGTGTGAGATTTGTGAAGCATTTGAAAAGGAAATATTAAATCTTTAGAATTGTGATAACAGTTTTAATTAAAAATTTTTCAAGGATTTCTGCTTTAAAGAAATATTGCTCTCTCTCTCTCTCTATATATATATATATTCTGTTCTGTTAGGTTGTTCGGGGTGCCTGAGGCCGGAACGGCCCTTTACCCCTTCATCTTGTGATAAGGTCAATGAGGTAGTTCCTTAAGGTGGGTAGTAGGNAGATAAGCTTATCTGGTCTCTGAGAACATTAAATTTCTCTTTCACATACTTAACTTGGCTCTTCGCGTATACGTTTAGTCCCGTTGAATAGCGATGAAATCTTTATTTATAAAATGAATCCACCCCGCGCAATAAAAAATCGTAACGAAGCCGAATTCCCATAAAAATCAAGACGTGTTGAGATATTAGTTCATCTCCATCTGGTCTGAAGATGTTCCAGGCGCCGGTTCTAACATCTGGGTTATATAGATCACATGACATGAACATATGTTACCTTAAAGAAGGTACACTTATATTTTGGAAATGAAATGGTAAAGATGTGTCCCGGAGCCTCTGCTCCGTTTGTATATAATTTGTAAATAGATTTCCTTATCCTTTATTCAATAAATTCATAGAAAATGCATTTTGTTGTCATACTTATATAAAGGATATTAAAAATATTAAAAAATGACTGCGGAAATTGGAATCAACAAAATAATCATTCATGAATGAAAGCTACGACTAAAGAGTTTACGAGAAAGAACGAGAACGAGCACTACATATATATATATATATATGGATCATGGTGAATAATTTTTAATCTAATGATCAGATCTTCACATTTTGTCATATTTTTAAAAAGTCTTATATATAAAATGAAATTTCTCAGGATCTGTTCGACTGAGTTTACTCTAATTTTGTGTTTTTCCATTTAAAAAAACATTCTTTAAAACGACGTAAAAAATTATGTACCCTAAAATTGAAAATTGTTTCGACAAAGTATAATAAATATTTTCAAAAATTTTTTTTTGCATAGAATTATTTTTAGGTAAATAAATTCTATAATTGTGTGCAAATTTTACAATTTGCTTAAAAAGTTTTCAAAATATGGTGAAATACGCAAAAATTAAAATTATAATATGAGTTTATACTTTGAACAGCTCTCCTGATTAAACTATTGGGACCATGTTTCCTTGATTGTGGTTACCACCTATACTTTGGGAGTCAGAAGTCTACCATAAAAATGCTTAGTTGGAGAAAGTATATTTTTGTATCTGATTTCATTATTTAAAATATCATCAGCACTAATTAGCGTACTTGAGGTCACCTCCTCAAACCATTAAGATTGAGTCTTAGAATGTAAAGATCTGATCATTAGATCAAAAGCTATATACGGTGATTCTTTTTTTTAGCACTGTACTCTAACTTTTAAGAATTCGAAAGCTTTATAGCTCCAATCCATATGACCTCTATTTTTATAATTTTGTTTTCGATGAAACTACTTTATCAAACACACTAAAATTGGTTATCAAAGTATTTGTGGAATACTAAATGATAGAAAAATAAACGTCAGATAACTTTTTATAAAATTATCATTAATTTGCATAATTTATTTATAATAAGGGACCCAGTGATCTATAACAACTTCAGTGAAACTACTTATAGGGTCTCTGAAACCGGACAGTTAATTGGGGAGACACCAAGTAACGTTAGGACAATAGTAAACTTTGATTACTTACTTATTGAATATCACAAATATGAACTTGTGATCACTTTAACTACCTTGAAAAATTTGACGCCCAGATACAATGACACATTGTCCATGTTAATCGTTGTCTTAATGGATTAAGAATTTTCTACACTCTAAATTAGTAAAAAAGGTAACCATCATGTTATATAAAACGAACATTAGATTTTTCTCGTGTATGGTTCAGAAATCTGGGCAATGACAAAATCACAAGAAAATGGACAAGCTATCTTGGAGAGAAATTTTTTAGGAAGGATTCTAATGCAGTGCTTTATAGAAGCACAAGTACAATAAATACGTATTGAGCTGAATAGAAAGACAGATCACATTAAAAATGCTGGACATTTCTGTTGAATAGACCCCTCCTCTTTAACATTTTGAGTCTTTAATTTTAAACCATTTGTATCCATATTAGAGGTAGGTCCAGATTGAGGTTGGTAGACTGCTTTAATGTGAATTTAAAAACACTGAAAATCAGCAATTAAAAGGAATTGGTGAAGGAATGAACAGAAGGAGAAACAATTCTAAAGAAGGCTGTGGTCCACAAAAGACTGTCGAGTCAATAGAGAACTTATAACCATAATTTAAACTATCACATAATAACAATTTATTAGATGAATGTCAGAAACTTTTTAAAACCTTTAGCATTAAATCCTAATGCATCTGAAGTTGCTGAAACTGTAATGATATAATAAAGGTTTTGCATTGCTTTAATTGATACATTTTGCAAAATGTTAATTATTGAAGAAATATGAAAAAAACTATAATATGTCAAAGCTAATTTATTTTGTTTTGTTAAAATTATTTTGTAAATTATTAATTATAAACTGCTAGCATTTGATGGGAAACTTGGTAAAACCTGGAAAAATTAAAATAACAGGTGAAAAAAACTTATTCTTTTAAAAATATCTCTTAAATATTTTCTTATTTATATTAGATTTAAATATACCATGTGAAATATATGTATTAAAAGAGCTTACTAGTTATATTTAGAATATTCCCATTTTTTAGTTTCAAAACATTTTATGGTCAGTTACAGGACGCTTGTTCATCCATTAAAGTTTTTGAATAAGGTGAGTTAAAAAAAGTTGCTGATATTTACTTAAGCTGAGATGCTTAATTGTTTAACTAATAGGAAGAACTTTTATTATTTGTCTTTAAAAGCAAAATCATAAACACAATTGGGATTTTTTTAAATAAAAAAGTCAACACTTAAAAACCTTGAACTCTCCTAGGGTTGAAGCATCGACAACAGCCAACATCCCCAAATAAACGCCCATAAAGAAATCTGCCATGGCCAAGTTGCACACCAAAAAGCGTGGAACGTCCATCTTGCTTCGCCCGACTATAAGAACAATCACAACGATTCCATTACCGAGCAGAGCTAGCAAAAACACTACCCAAATTCCACATCTGAGACTCCACAGTCCAAATAGATCTTCACATGGCATAAAAGGACCTAAAACAATGTATTGAATGTAATATATTGGTTATTATAAGAAAGTGCAATTCTCTTTTTAAACAATAAAATGTAGTTTGTTATGAAAATATACCTGGTTCAGGTAAACATTGCAGAGCGAATTTAGCTAGAAGATTTTCTTCATTGTTTAAAGCAGATTTGTAATCTTCAAAATATTCTTCTGCATATTGTGCTAAATTGTCAGGTATGGTGTAGTCTCTTCCAAATGTTTTCCAAAGCTGATTTGCAAATTCTTCAAATTTGGTTGAAAAATTACCTTCAAAATGAAAAATTAACTTTTATTTCTAAATTAATGAATCTATAAAATTTAATTTTGTTAAAAAGAAAACATTTTTCCCAATACTTTTTGTGTCAAAAGCATTAAAATATGTAGGTCTTTGTTATGAACTTTCTAAAGCTGTTAAAGATTTTAATAGAAAGGATAAAAAAAATTACATCTCAATGTTGCATTAATTATTAGTCATCAAGCCCATTTGCGGACATGGGGCATTATATTAAGTCTATTCTGAAAGATGCATTATTTTTATAATATGTTTAAAATGTGCCCTTAAAAATATTAAAATGTCATGCTTGCAAAATATTATTAGATCTAAGTTATTCAGGTTGTCCCTTTTTGCTAACAATGCAACATTATTAATAGTAATTTTTCGTTTACATAAATGATGAATGACACTAAAAAGTACCACTTACAATTTTTCTCAATCCCAAAGTTTGAAGAATTGAATACTTTTTTTTAAATTACGTTTTTATGCAAGAATTGGAAATTAATTAGTTGGAAAATTTACCAGATATATAGACATTACTTTTCATTTCATTTTCAGATTAAAAAAATTAATGTTTTATTTTGATCATTTGATATCAATCACTTTCGATATTTTTATATTTAAAACTAATTTCCTGCTAGGAGATGATAAATTTTATAAATATTCTTCGAAAAAATATATTTATTTAAAAAAAAAATTATGCAGTGTTTTGTTGTGTATTAAATAAATATTAAATAATTATGTTTTGTACATTGCAAAATGTGAATTATTTGTAAATAAAAAGCAATTAAAGTTGTGATTATAGTAAGTTATAAATTTTATTGCAATTTATTTTATGCTACTTATATTTTAAACATAAAGTTTCAAAACCTTATTTTAAATGTCACCATATTTATATTTAATCACCTGATCCAGGCCATATATCACTGATGTTGGAATTCCATGATGCCATATCAACATCATCTTTTGAAAGCCAAACTATAGTTTCTTGTAAAGTGGTTGTAGGTCTTGGCGAAGTGCTTGTGTGACTTGATGATGCTATGAACGCACAGCAGTGATAAGCATATGATAGAGCTAAAGTGTTTATGCGAGGAAAGGTTTGAACTGGTGGAAATTCTTTAAGTTCTCGATTGTTAAAGGTTTTCAGTTGTCTCAAATTTTGTAGTCCTTTTGTAGGAAGCTTAGGAAATTTATTGGCACCAAGGTTTCTGCAAAAGTTAAACAATTTTCAGCATAAATTATTTTTTTATCTGAAAAATGATAAATATTTTATGATATATTTTATTCACCTGAGAACAATATTTATGAATCTTTACGCATAAGCACTGTTAGTAATTTAGTTTTAATGGTATTAAATAAATTTTGCTGTGAATTTTTACATTATTCACTTATTAGTAATTTTAAGTTAATACTTGTTAAAATAGTTATATTAACTATTTATGTAATAATTATATATATATAATTGCATACATTAGCTTCTTGATGGAATTTTAAATGCCATTTTTTTATTACTTTTTAAATTTTAACTTTGATATGCTAATGATAATTTGTAACCCACATACAAAAATAATATTTAGAAAAACTATTTGAAGTAGGGAATTTTAAAATTAAAAAATCATGAAAGTAAATTTGGAACAAATGGTACAGAAAAAAAAAAATAAAGGAACAAATGTGGAAAATTTTCTGCTTACAAATCTCTGAGATCCTTAAAGTAAGTGAAAGCTTCAGGATGGATTTTCTCTATTTCATTGCTTTCTAAATCTCTAAAAATATATATTGGAAAATAAAGTAGTTAAGATAAAAAAAAATTTGAAAAAAGTTTCAATAAGCTTAAAAAAATTATTAAAACTTACAGAACTTGTAGGTTTGTAAGGCCTTCAAAACTATTCATTAATATTTCTGAAATCAAATTATGACTCAGAAAAAGATCGATTAGGTTCTTCTGGTTTGTAAATGTGTTTTCTTCTACAGCTATGATATTGTTGTAGCTTAGATCTCTGAAAATATATAGGTTATTTTTTGGATGAGCAATAATCTTTCTATTATAATTAAAATAAATATTTTAAAATAGGGTAAATGTTTATTTTTGAAAGTTTTTATTTAAGGGATTTTCAGTTTAAAATATTTTAGGTCTATGAAAGTTCTTATAATTCTTGAATAATTTTTTTTTAATAATTTTTTTTATAAGTAGAAAACATATTTTTAAATGTTTTTAACCCACTGACGGTTCTGCACATAAAAAGTTGTATTTTAAACTGCAGTCTTCTCATAGCAAAACCGGTTTTTCCATGTTATTATACAGGGCAATAGTGTATAGAGGAGAAATATCCTCACAATTTTGCCGTTTTACTAAACTGCCAGTGTGTTAAAAAAAGAAAACGAAATGAAGCTATTTTGAACCCAGGTAACCTTGAACTATTTAAGTAGTAATACGCTATTAAAAGTGCTCTCGTTTAAAAGAGATTAGAAAAGCATGTTAATCTAAGTTTTTCTATAAAGCTAAATAAAATGTTCATGAATAGTAGCAAAATAAAACCTAATAGAATGTCAAAAGGTTATCAGCCAGTTCGATTTTATTGGAACCAATTATCTAGAATTCATAATTAAAATTTAAATATTATTTCTTATTCAAAATTCATGTAGATATTTACAATTTTGTTACAAGGAAAAAATTGTCTCCCTAATTCATGATTTGAAAATCATGTTGCATTGAGATAAGATATTGCTTAATTAGAAAACTATCTAACTTTGTGTTTCTATTGTGACATCAAAATCATTTGGATACAGATTACTATATTTTAAGAAAAACAATTGCTTAACAGCAACTTCCATGAGAATTTTGCAGTATAATGTAAAAAAAAATTGTGGGGTTCTTAAGAACTTACTAGGCAAGCTTGTCAAACAGAAAGTTCATATGAGTACTCTACATTTCGACATAGGATTCTGTTGTTGACTGATACTTCTTTATAATTTCTTTTTGGACAAAATCTTGAATAATTGATTTTAGGTACATTTTGTGTTTGAACCCGAATGAATTTTTATTAAAAAGACTATTAGATGATTTGTTGAATGAAACAAAAACAGATTTAACCCTTCAATGGGCCATTTATTTCTAGTAAGGGTACATTAAAATACTTTTTGAATTTAGATTAAAGAATCATTTATATTAGTTGATGACATTAATTCGAATTTTAACAAAATTTTTCTTTGTAGTAAGTACTCTTACTACTACCCTACAGGTGTTATAAAAAAGCAAGAAACTGAATCACTTTCATTTTTTTTTTTCATTTATAAAGTAAATTAGGAACTAGTTGAAGAATTTCTTTAAATGTTCACATTTTATTTGGAGATATATTTTTATAAACCATTAAATGCCTCAAAATTTAAATTTCTCTTATTTTCTTTTTAAAAAATGGAAGTTTGATAAATTTTTGTCAGCTGTTCAACTTGCAGAGGCAGTTATTGATTCACTTCAGTAGCTAGGAAGAAATTATAAAATTTTTTTTAATGAAGTTAACAAAAAAATTTATTCTCTTAAAGTTATATATTTCACTGTTAAGTATTTGGTTTTACAATGAAGTAATATTTTCTTACCAAATTGTTGCATGATATATATTTAAGACTTTTGGTCAACATTATAATTTTATTACATTTTTTGTTAATGATGTTATTAATCCTAATGCACAATCCTTTTTCAAAAAATTAAAAGGAAGCACGAAAAGTTAAATCATGATTAATTTTTCAAAATAAATAAACTCATTTAAGATCAATCAACATGAATTTTCCAATTGTTAAATTAAGATAAACAAATACACAAGACATTTTGCAATTGTGAATTACTTACATTAGTCGTAGCTCTTTGCACTCATGAAGCACAGGTATTTCTGCCAGTTTATTTGACTTCAAATTTCTGAAAAAAAATTAAGTAAAAGAATCACAAAATGGTTAATGAAATAGATAATTCACTCATTAATAATTTTTTGATTAAATAAAATAGATCAATTATTATTGAGATCGGGGAAAAGGAGTTATTCTTTACAGATAGGGTGATTAAAACTTTAAAAAATAAATAGCAGTTATATTTCTGTTTAGAATGCTTTTTTTTACAACTCCGGCTGAACGGCATTGAAACCAGCTCTATCAATTCATGAGAATTATAGAGGAGAAGTATATCTATGAACAAGGTGTTGGAATTTGATAAATATTTTTGATCAGAATTGAAGTTTATGGTGATTTAAGATAGTTTCCCTCTTCTTATATATATTTCTATATCAATAAAAATAATGCTTTGTATTGAATCTGTTTTTGCTAATTTTGAAATTAAATAGCAATAGTACATATTTTTTTGTGTGAACAAAGGTTACTCAAAATATGCAGACTATTTAGTAAGTATGTACTTAGTAATATTTGTAGAAAAAGTAAAAACATCAGGAGTAGAGCATTAATATTTAGTAGAAAAAAGGGGGGACAGAATGATAAACACTAAACTTGTTTGATCGCCTGCTTGAATTAGAGATGCTTCTAATAATCATCTTTCAGTTCTTTTCTGTTTCCTGCTGTAATAAAATGGATTTAGATTTTTTTAGTTACGCCTTCCTCGTTCATGATGCGTTAGATTTCAAAAGTATTTTTGTTTCCCCCCCTCGCTTAACATTCATTTACAGTATCTGTGTAGTGTAAAATTTTTTACTTTATTTTTAACAAGGATTCTAAAAATATATATTCGGTGGGATCATAATGAAACAAGATAATCGACCAAATTTCGCAGTATTTGTTTCAATTGTAAGGTGTATTTAAACATTCAAAAAGGAAGGCTAGTAGAAAATTTAAATAAATTACAAAAAAAGAAAGTCAAAAGCTATTTTGGATCAAAATAGCAAAGGAAGACCAAGAAGAATTTTAAATACAACTGATAAATAATAGAATAAAAATTTAAATTGAGGTGGTTTTGAAACTAAAAACATAAAATATATGTAGTTATAAGTTTTTAGTGTGTATAATATATATAAAAGCACAATTTTCGACTTAACACTTATTTAAGCAATTGACATTCCTGTTAAGACGCGTGAAATATTGTATCCTTTGTACTTTCTTGCGACGAATTAAATAGGGCTAAAAACAAGTGGATAAACTATTGATTTAAATGCTTTATGTTCCTGACAGCGCTAGCTAGACAAGCGAGGAATTGTTTCATTCATATTTAGTTACACTAAATCAAATAAGATCAAAACTAATTTGATAGGACTTACAGTCTTGACGTTATTTAGATTTTTTTGTGTAAAGAGTATAATTTTTGACCTAGATGAATTTATAAATTATACCCTTATAACTTCGAAACTATTAGTTCTATCAACTTGGATTTTTTGTTTTAACTTAAAAAATACATGGGAAACAATATGTCACTTGTTTATCTACGTTAGGTGTGTAAATAGGTAAATGTCAAAAATTTGAACTTTTTATACATAAAACTTTTATAGCTTGTATGTTATTAGTCCTATAGGTTTGGTTTTGATATAATTCAATTAATCACAAAAATGCATGGGAAACAATACCTCTCTCCCCATATTTAATTTCTTTCCCTCTCTGACTCTATCGCCTCAGTAAATTCAAGATGGCATCTAAAGCTTGCATTAGATAATGAGCAAATTTATAATTGGTCTGCCAAGCCATGACTTTTTAAAAAAAAATTTCCTGTATTTCCTTTGTAAGTTGCATTCAGCTACTTAGTTTATTCCGAACTGTTTGCATCTATTAAATAGGCAGTTTGTTTTCATATTGAAAAATCTTTTTGATGTTGAGAAATCCTTTTAAAATTAATTGCACATATCTATTGTAGTACAATACACACCCAGAATAATTTTTGTTCTAATGATCAGGTTTTTACAGTACTAAGACTTAATTTTAATGGTTTGAGACCCTTACTTTAAATATGCTAATTAATTAGTGACTAAGTGCTAATATGCTAATTAAATATGCTAATCAATTTTAAATTTCGAAATCGAATACAAAAACGTTATTTTTTCAGAATAATCAAAATTTTTTTAAAACAAATTTAGGTACCTAAAAATGCGGAGGGGGGGGGGAGTAGCCACATTCTGATAAATTAGTTTGGTCTTTATCATTATTATTTTAATGTTGTCTTTTTGTGTGTTACGCGATGTCTCGTAAACTTTTTTTTCTTTTTTACGCATCGAAAAAGTTTTGTTCCCAATTATAAAATTAGTTTATCCAAATATATTTCCATGTACAAAAGGAATTTTAATGATAATTTATTAATCTATTTAATACTTGTCGAAAAATTTTGAATTGCAAGCTGCAAAGATTTTTATTTATTTCAAAGTATGTAACGAATTACAAAATTTGAACGGAATCAGTCGAATAGTCTGTCCAATTAAAGAGTAAAAATTTGTGCACTTTACAATTCACATTTTTTTGACTATTATAAACCATACCAAAATAATTACCAAAAATTAAATTTATTATTTATTTGGAATTACATTTGGAGAAATAAATTTTATAATTGTGCGCAAAAGCTTTTCGATTAACTTAAATTCTAGAGATAAGCGAAATACACAATAAGTGTGCTCAATAATTTCGTTTTTGTGTCTGATTTCGTATATTCATATATCGTCTGATCTAATTAATAAGCATACTTAAAGTTATGTTCTCAAACCATTAAGATTGAGTTTTAGTGAGTAAAAATCCGATCATAAGATCAAAAGTTATACAGGGTGTTCAATTTTTGAGCACTGTATAAGCTCATCGTGAAACAATGCCAAATTTTCTCATTAAAACTAGAAAAAATTACGAAGAAAAAAGTCTAAAAAAATTATGAAAAACATAATTATGTATATAGTGATTTCTTGTTTTAATTCAACGACTATTAATTAATTTACTAAAATATGAAGCTATTTAACATTATCTAGTCTTTAAAATTTTTTTCCCGTAAGTTCAGTGTTTTAATTTTAATAAAAATGTTTGGAACTTTTCAAAAGGAGGGAAAAGTCTTACTTAATAAAAGTATTTGCTTAAAATAAAATAATGTTTTAAAACATCAGAAGTTTCGTTTAAAATAGAAATTATTAGTGAACAGAGCTATGTAGTTATTAAAATTTATGATTTCTTTTAAGATATAAAATTTCTTCAACAAGTAAGTTCGTCGTCATGGGACCAACTACGTAAGCAAAGTTGAGCAGTGAGAATACTTTTAAGAAGTTTCATTTTAAATTTCGTAATCTTTTGCAAGATTACATTTTTGATGTTGAATTTTAGTTAAAATACGCGGTTAAATTTGTTAGTTAAAATATTTTTTATCGCATTTCATTTTAAAATCTGAGTTTTACTACTCATATTTCTATGTACTACGAAGAATTCTCAAGAAAATTTATTTTCAAAAAATATAATAAAGCGTGAGAAAGATGCATTAAAAACTAAAGATTATAGAATATAATTTTTGTTTCTATGTGTTTTTAAATTTCGAATACATTTCACTTATATTATTTAGCTTATAAAATTAATAATAAGATTATTAATAATAAATTTATTATGTAATTATTAATTAGTTATCAATTATGTTAAGGCATTAATTTGTTGTTAATTATGATGCCATGTTATTATTAAATAATTATGTTAATGAAGTAAATATATAATTAATATTGAAACTTTGTACCAATTTTACTTTTAATTTTTTTATATAATAGTAAAGTGTACAATTATGTTAATTTGTTGTTATTCATTTGTTAATAATGTTATTAATTATGTTATTATTAATTATGTTATGTTAATGAAGAAAATATATAAATTACAATAAAACTTTGACCAATTTTAACTTTTATTTTTTTAAGCAGAATGTAATAAATTATTCAAATTTTGTGGGAAATACATTAAACGTTTTCTTATTAATGTACTTTTTTGTAAATGAATTCTGTGAAATATATTTGTGCTAACTGAACACGTTGCACATGAATCGATCGAAGGTGCAATACAGAAACTGGTTCAAGGTTCAACAAGCATACACTTTTTTAATTGCGTTAGGCCTAAAAAAATAAATCACTATCTTTTTTAAAATTGATATTTATTATAAAAGGTAATAATATTTTGGTACTTATTTAGTTCTGTAATCAAATGCAATTACTCTAAGGTTTTACTATCCAATTAAATTGATTAAAAGAAGTTACTCAGCAACTAAAAGAGTTCTCTAGTACAGCTGTTCCCAAGTGGTGTTCCGCGGAACCCTAGGTTTCCGTGGAAGAGTTAAAGGGGTTCCGAGAGTTAGAATATTTTTTTAATATTTTTTAAGCATTTAGATCCAATCAATTATCTATTATTTACTTAATATTTCGGTTGTTAATTATTTAAGAAGTAAAATGCCAGTGAAAAAGAAAGGACAAAATTTCTTTTAAAAATTGCATTATTTTTCTGATAATGAATTGAATAAATTATGAAAAAAACAGGCATGTATAAAAATTGCATTAATATTCTTAATCGCTTTTATCAAATGAAAATAAAATAAATAAATTCATTATGATGAAATATTTATCAACGAACAATTAATAATAGCGTTTATAGCAGTTCTTTTTAATCTTCATTTCAACGCAAATCATAATTTGGATTATATTATTCATTTTTTGGTTATGCATAGACACCAAAAACAACTTAATAACTTGACTAGATTCAGCTTCAAGATAGTAAATTCAACTGTCGGTCATAAAAGCTTATTTAAAATTATTGATGATGAAATTTTATTCCTTAATTGATTGGAATTTCTGGTTTACGACTACTAATGTTCAACTCCGTAGCTTTGTAATTTTGAACCCAATCCAGAAGACAAGGGAACTCCTGTATCAAGAACTCGGCGTAATTTGCCATTGCGGAGGACTTTTTGATGAAACTAACGCTCATTTGCGTTAC